GATTGGATCCGGTTATGCAAATAAAAAATATCGTAATAAAGCAAACATTCTCAAGAAATATCGGAAATTGAATTACAATAAAATTTCTTTGTAATGGTAATAACAAAAAACCACAGATATTTTACAGTCTTGGACATAAAACTAAAAAAAAACAATAATCCAACCTTTGACTTGTTGGTTATCATGATTAATTACCACAATAATTTTAGAAAATGCATTTGAATTTATCTTCGAAGTGATTTTATAGATGATTTTTGCTATAAACAGCACATAAAAACATTATTTATTACAAACAAAAGAAATTATTTTTAATACAAACAGCGTTTTGCGAATAATCTTCGTAGTGCGCTGGTAAGTGTGCAAAATTCATGATTCAAACATTTAAAAGAGTACGAAAAAAAACTTTTTAAGAACCCTATAAGAAAATACTTTAATACTTATTTTCAAAATCGATTTCAAAAATATGTTCGATGCGTTTAATTAACAAGTAAGTCTGCAACATTTGAAGGGTTTTACAAAAAGCTTAGCGATCTTACGGTAAAAGCCCATTTGGTCTAAAACTTTGAAGCTTTACATTGATACATATGCGACTTGCAGTGCTAATCAATTTATCCCACCAATATCATGTTCAACCATATATCTAAAAGATCATGATCTGCTTCAACGTTGATTTATGTTTGGTTTGTATAGTGCGTCTGTTTTAATAGACAAAAACTCTGTTTATTTGCTAAAGTAACTTCTGCAGACTTTTTTCGTAAATATTTGTACAGCTGTGACACCAGAAGAGGCGAATTCTTTTGTTTACCCATTCAACGGTGCGCGTGTAGATCAAATATTAGTACTCCATTCACCACTTTCAGTGCACACTGCATTCAATACTTATGTATATATATCATGTTTGGGATCGTGACAGTGAACCATACAAGTGCGAACGCTAAACCAGCACACATAAACATCGTCGGCTCAATATTCTGATCGATGTGCGCGTACAGTCATTTAAATAATACAAACATTGCTGACGAAAAGTCAGCATTTGCATTAAATTCAGTATTGTATTTACTGTTGTAATGTTAAGAGGTCGTGTGCTCTCTGTACGATCGCGTCAGTGAAACTGATTTTATGTCGGCGCGCTATCACTACAATTTGCGTAAAGTGATTATACTGTGATTATTTTTTTTATTATCTTCAAACAAAATTATATATTACATTCGTGTTAGATAGACATCGCTATAGTTTCAGTGATTTTTTTTGTTACAGTGAACAAAAACGTTTATAAATAAAATTATTGAAGAATTTAAAATTTGAGAAATAGAAAAAAATAATATTTTCTATTCGTGAGCAAAAATATTGTAAATTTGTTCGAATTTATAGAGACTTATTCAAGTGAATTTGTCTAATTTCTGTAACAAAATTTAAAACCAGTTGTAATATGAACCAAAGTAAATCAATGAAGTGAACGTTTCATTGGTTTGAATATCACATTTGCATCGAAATCGACAATTACAACAGAAAAGAATTGCAATGTGGGACCAAATCATACAGTTTGTGTTTAGTATTCAACTTGTGGCGTTGATATTAATTCTCATTGGTGCTTATGCATTATTATGGTGGAGCATTGATAATTTCAAATCGATTATTCAAATTATTCGAAGTTTTCTGGTGCCATATTTTCAACCACACGAAGATCTTCCACTCAGCGAAAAATTCGGCAATTGGGCAGGTATGAGTCGGTGAAAAATATAAATACAAATTAGCTTGACCAACAATTTAACTCATTTTTACCAAAACAAAAAAAAATGATTGAAAATAAATGTTCGTTGCAGTTTTTTCAATTTTCAAATCAAATTTCGATTACAATTATTTGTATATAGTGTAAACTCCGTCACACATATAGGCTGTAAATACCGGTATTTTGTGAAACATCAACACATTTTATTTGAATACGTATCGAAATGACGTTCTATTCTCCTTTCTATTTCATTTTTCTCGATTGAAAATGTTTACCTCGAAGTAATTGCAAATGGGTTCTGGACGTGCGATGAGAGAACCAAAAGAGGAAATTCCAGTTTTTATTTCTGCAACTCGGATGGAAGTGGTAGATGTAGGTTAATATGTCATGGTCGTTGTGCATTGCACGTAAAGAGCACTTATAGCGCGTCTTCTGCATTCTACGTATGAGGATGTAAAAAAAAACGTAATACAAATCTCATTCATGCTTTGTAATTGAAACAACTAAAGAATTATGCACTTCTACTCGTTTTGCATAGGCTGTAAATGGCATTAATAAAAAAAATTGTTTATGTCTTCAATATTAATGTGGTTAATGCAAAACAAAAAATTACGCGGTTTGATGAACTGATGAAGTCGTCGTTGATTTAAATTACATGTTGTTGGTGTCTTTTGCATGAAAAGCACCTGCTTGACTTCATTTGGCCTAGAAATATGGTATGGTCTTTGCATTTACATCGCCATCAAAAACAAAATTATGTAAAAAATGATTGCGACTTCAATTAGAGCCCAACATTTCTAACATCTTCGTTACTCCAGTGTTTATTCGTTGCTATGCTACACGCGTCTATTGTATTTACCGCACATATGAAAATCATCATCCAAAATTGTTTTTCTTCAAAGTAATTATGTCGCAATGAAGGCCAAATCCATGTGCAGTTCCATTAAAAGTGATAAAAACTTTTAATGGGTTAAACAACACAAAAATGTCATCTACCAAAACTAATACCAAAAAAACAATGACGCGAAAATTAAAAATGTGGATGGTTTTGATCGACGAGCGAAAGATAAGAGGGCATCTATATTTATCATAAGCGTCCGACAAATGCCATTCAATGTTTTTTTACGCTTTGCCGAATGATTAGCAAAATTAGTCGATCAAGTGTTAAACTGAGTGAGTACGCAAGCTCGCTTCTTCATGCACTTGGTAGCGTCCGACACAATGAAATAATCATGTATGAAAAGTTGTTGTGCATTGTAATGTTGATTATTGCCTCAAGGTAAACAATTCTGCGAAGATGTGCGCGTAATTTCATATGCGTACACCGCGTCAAAATGGGTTAATGATGAAGCGTAGTGAAAAGAAGTTGTTGATATTACAAAGATACAACGAAGACCAGTAATAATTGGACTTTCAAACAAGAAGGCGAAATCCGTTCGAAAATAAATCTCGATAATTGAATTTAAAAAAAAAAACCGGAGATTGCCAAAATCGAATATGTAATCGTTGAATGCAATCTGTTTTGATTCTTTTTTTTTAATATCGACCGATGTCTTAGTACCAATTTGCAATCATTTTAATATTGTAAACGATCATAAAGCCGATTTCGTAATTCACTTGTCCATTATGTTCACGATTCTTCTAGTTAGTTTTATTTCATTCGAAGAGCATGAGATGCGCTTTATGACTCCATGACCTCATTGAATTGCACATATTCAATTCCATTAAATGGTTATTAAATGTACACACAATATAATTATAAGCGGATTGAAAAAGGCCAACATTACATTCTCTCACCTTTTAACACCGTCGATGGAAAAAAATCCTCATGCAACAACATTCAATCGGTTTTTATTTTTGTGCATGAAACCAAACCACTACAATAATTAAAAAAAACGCGAGTCGAATACGTGCTCAATAAAGCGTGTAAATACGCAGAAAGAACGAGTAGGCCAAAAATTCAATCACTTCACGTTAAATTGTCTGCACTGTCACTTTTTGCAAGAAAAAAACATTGGGATATTTTTAGATCGAACAGAAATTAATAAAATAAAAACATGTCGCCATTAAATGACATGTCTATATGGAAATTTCTCGACGATAATTGTTCGCAAAATTAGATTGTGAACCGTCTGTTGCATTAAAATCAAAGTCAATTTTTTTACGGTTAGACGACAGTTTTAATTATACCGTGCAAGCGTTTTTTAATGCTTTTACCGCTGAATAATCAGAATAATTGGCAAAAAAAATTCACGTGCAACTATAGATTAATGAAGGGAAGTGTTGAAATATGAAGCGATTTAATCGATTCCAAAAATTATATTCAAAATGCATTCTCATCCGTTGGAATTGATCGTGTTCCACTTTACAGCGAAATAAAAAAATGACAAAAAAACACACACGGTTTGAAGCCTGTTAGAGTCGATGCAGCAATATAAATTGTATGGTATTCACATATTTTGAGTCTTTATTATTTTAAACATCCGTTCTCTTCGCCCAGCCCACAATAGAGCCCGTAATTGTAAATCAAATTATTTATGCATAAATTATGAATCGAATATTGTAGAATAATAAGTCGACAGTATGAAATTCCACGAGTACGCATTCATCAGAAAGCCAATTGCACGATCGATTGAGGTGTGTCATAGTATTGGTCGTACTGTTTGCAATCTTCATGCTCAAAATATCCATGTTAGCAGCTAACAAATCCATTTTCGGATATTATTCTGTCAGTTGAACATGGCTTATTTTTTTTTAATTTTCAATGAAATGAATGGTTTTCTTAAAATTGTTTACGCACTTTCGTGTCTGACGGTCTGTGGCTGCTTTTTCATAAGAAGTAAAACTAGCAGACTCACCAATATGAGACGCAAAGCGAAAAAGAAGCAAAAGATGAAAATCATTGAACTATAAAAGTCAGTCTACACATGTGTCGATGCAGTGTTATGCAATTCAATGTGCTTCGAATCAAATCGAGAGAAAAGAGAAGCTGACGCACACAAAGAACACACGTTAAAAAAAGAAACGAGTTTTGCGGTCTTTATATCGAATATTACACAATAATGTTTAAGTACAATTATATATGGAGCTAGTACGCTTTGAGTGTATTCGGTGGTATTTTTCATTTACAGTACACGATTATATTAACACTTTTAATGGTCTTTGACCACCACGTTCGAATAAAACTAGAATTCAATCTAGGTGAAACACAAAGCGGTTCAATAGACTAACATGAGTCGCGTGTGTATATGTTTGTATGCATGTTGGCCTAGTGCATATACGATAAAAGTGATTGCATAACGGTTTCAATTGGTGTGCAATTGAACGCGAGCAAATTGACTACAAAATGATGAATATAAGTTTAACCTTGTTATTTGTTACTTGAAAACATGATATATGCAATCATTTTTCAGAGACAAAAATAGAAAAAACGATCCATAATCAATTTGATTAAAATTTACGAAGTCGTTGGATGAAGATAATACAAAAACTTGAAATGTTCACGTTGTTCTCCATCAAATAGAATTTCATTTGCATCAAACTCTTTTGGCCGAAGCCAATTACCATCAGTAATGGATCAGTTATATAGATAAATTGCGTTTATTTGAAAAAAAGAGTACCAAAAATCGTCTGACCTTCCAACGTGTTATTCGTTTTGTACAGGTGTGCTGACCGCGTTCACGCCTCATTGTTTCTATATTTAATACCATATTAAAAAAAACCATTTTTGTACAATTATTTAAACACTTTGTTTTTCCATTATTTCACACGGTTTTCTACGCACTGCAACATTAAACAACGGCCAACAGTTGTGACAGGGAGCACCGATGGCATTGGACGAGAATACGCCAAACAATTGGCCAATCGAGGCATTAATATTGTACTTATTTCAAGAACGAAATCAAAATTAATTGAAGTGGCCAACGAAATTGGTAACATCATACAAATATTTCACTAATTAATTTAAAGTACTCAACAGCTATGCGATAATTGACCGGGGTTTTTTGTTCGTTTGTAGAATCATTATATCCAGTAAAGACAAAATACATCGTTGCAGATTTTAGTAATGGCAAAGAAATATACGATGAAATTGAAAAACAACTCAGCGGTATTCCGGTCGGAATTTTGGGTAAGTGACAAGAAATTCTTTATTTATGATAATTTATGAATTTCATTTTTTATTTATTGCCAATTGATATGTCCATTCATTTTTGCGGAAAAATATTGTGAATTTTTAATTATAATTTTCAATGACGTTACTTTTTGGCATATCATATCAAATTTAATTTTCGAAAATTCAATGTCCACTCAATTTGCACGTCAGAGATTAAAGTTCAAAAATATTATGATCTACCTAATCTTGGCAATGTAATTATCTGCTTATTTTGCAAGCAATGTTCATCAATTAACATCTGCAAAAAATGTTCGATTCGCGTGTTTTCGCAAACAAAATGTTGATCGTGAACTTTGAAATGGATACGCTTATTGTTTGAATTAAATCACTGCAACTGGTTAGTACAGAAATTTAGACGCCACTGTATTCACATTTCATCAGGCCTTCAATTTAAAATCAATTGCATAATACCGAAATAAAGATAATGCGAAAATTGGGCGAATTAAAATACAATTAGATTTTTGTTTACTCTTTAACTTGTGTGTTTGTTTAATTAACTTTAATCAATTGCAGTGAATAATGTGGGACGAATGTACGACTACCCTGACGAACTGGGCACATTACCGCCTGAGTTCCTATGGAGTTTACTCAACATAAATATGGGATCGGTGACTATGATGACGAGAATGTTGATCAATGACATGAAAAAACGTGGCAAAGGTGCCATTGTAAATATATCATCGGGAAGTGAATTACAACCATTACCATATGCAGCTGTTTATGGTGCTTGTAAGGTAAAATTAACTGCTAATCGAACATCATTAAAAATACATTGAGTGTCTTTGATTGAATCTTTCGCAAAACAATTCCATAAAGTTTTTATTATTCGATTGCAAAAAAACACACAAGCATTTGAGATGCATCCAGTGGTCTACGGTTCGGGTCTCAATTGATGCAATTCTTTTTTTTATATTGCTGACAATTATCTCGTTAGCTAGTTATCTTTTATTACTTATATATGTAGACGATCAAACTACTGTACGTATTATAGTATTTTTTAAGTGTATATTATCTGAATGCATTCGATTAAAAGTAAGTTTCTATTGTGGTGCAAGCATAAACTGTATTTACAAAATTTTCACTTTACTCATACATGAAGACGAAAATCATGAAGAGTAATATTTGAATATCACCATAATCAAGACTAATCAATTTTTCTATGTCAATTTTATGTGTGATTTGCTTGCAAATTTCAAAATAAAAAGATACTTTTTACAGTCTGAGACGTTCATGGTTATAATTCGCTAAGTTTTCAATTTCCATATTTTTGTATAATATTCAGACGTTATGCGGGTAGATATCATATGAAATAAGCGGCTATTTGATACATTTCGATTTTGTGACATGTATTCGGTGCATTTGCAGTTAGTAACTGTTTGGATATCTAAAATACTGAAATAGAAAAAAATGTCTACAGTTACAGTTTCTGATCGCAAACACACTGAATACATGTCACAAAATCGAAATGTGTCAAATAGCCGTCTATTTTTTCTGGTAACGACATGTCCAAATTTGTTCCTCCATGGGATTTTTTTTCGATTTTAAAATATGGCATTTTTGTGGATTGAAATAAAGAAAATGTTCTATTGATATATTGATTTAGATTTATGTGAAGAATTTCACATTGGCCATTCAGCATGAGTTTGCACCGTATGGCATCTCCGTGCAATTGATCACACCACTTTATGTGCGCACCAAAATGAACAATTACTCAACGACCGTAATGAAAGGGAATATATTTTGTCCGGACGTAGAAACATATACACGATCAGCAGTAGCTAGTTTGGGAAGAACAAATGAAACCACCGGCTATTGGATACATGGTCTTCAGGTTTGTTTACAATTTTATTTTATTTCCATATAAAACGCATCATTAACGATATACTTTCTTTTGAATTTTCTAGTATGCAACATGTAAATTGGTGCCGACATGGGCTCGAACAATAATTGGCGCAAAATTGAATGAAAAATTTCGTGATGAATATTTTGCACAACAAAAACCACAAGATGTTAAATAATAATTCAACAAGGCCATTCCATCATCGAGCATGAATTTATTACTAAATATGTTTGGAATTGCAACAAAAATAAATTCCATTTCATTCGAAACTCAAAACAAATAAATAATAATCGCCGACATTTAAAAAAAAAAACATAAGTATGAACTGATTTAGTGATTTCGTCAAATTTGCTAGACACATCGAATTTGTATGATACTCTTGCATGAGAATATCGGCATTCTCTAGAAACCTAGAAAATTATCCTCATTTTATACAGAATTCTCCACATTTTTATACGGTATTTACTACACGCTGAAGGTGTATTTTCTCATTAAATTAAATTGCATGAAATGTATCTCGTAAATGGCTTCAATACCGTGCATGTTACAAATATTTGTTATTTCCAAGTGAGTTCGCATTTCCGATATTCGCCATGTGTAAACATAAAGATTTTTTTTTATATTATAAGAACTTGATTAGATTGATTTTTTTATTCACAAACACAGACAAACCGAAAGATAACTAATATCGGAGCAAGGGTAAAGCATTTCATTTATTTTTTCTTTTTGCTTGTTTTTGATTCTTTACAAAATAATTAAATAGTATATATATACAATATTGTAATTACAAAAAAAATAATCAAATTGAATTTGGCGCGCAATAAAATAGCAAAATAAATTAAGTTATCAACATCTTATTGATTTGTGGTTGTTTGTTTTTATCTAACGAATTCAAAAAAAAATCAGCACGACAGCAGACAAATGTTCAAAAAATGGCAGTCAAACTTCGAGTATATATAAAATTTAATTGTCAGAGTCACTGTCTTGCGTATCATTATCATCTTCGTCTTCATCTTCATCCTCTAGTTCAGGCATTGGAAACCGTAACATTGCAGCTATCCCGCTTAGTTGTGCCAATTCTGTAATCGAATCATTTGTATTAGAATCAATTGATTTTTTTTCGTAATCTTAGTTCGATTTAAAAAAAAAAACACAAAAAAAACACTTACGCTGTCCCGATATGTGCATGCTTGAAAAAATCTTCACTTCACCGCCCGCATCTCGAACGTCTTCCACTAATTTTACATACTCTTTTCGAATGTTCACTTCCTTACATCTGAAATTATTAACATGAAAAAATAGAATTAAATACCCAGGGGTTTCATGAACTATAGTTGATCTATAGATGGTCATTAAATTAATTACTATTGTAATACGAAATTTTTTGAAGGGTATTATCCTCAGGATAAACCAGTTAATAAATGAAAACAGATGTATGTTTTCATAGTCATCTAACATAATAATTGAGCACGAGTCATCTTTCGACACTACATTAGCTTTTATAATTATGATATCTTAAGGCAACAACACAACGTCTTGCGCTCAAAAATGATTGGATCAAAAAAGTGTTGTATTTTCTTTGAAGTCATTGTTCATGGTCATTGCAGTTTATGTGATGACTTTTTTTTAGTGAATAAATGACCATGTTTACTAACCGGAAAAGATTGTCTGATATCAGTAATGTTTCGATTGCTTGTGATTCAGCTGCCTTAACCACATGGTTTTTGCCGTAAAATGCTCTGGCTGGTTCAGCTTGGAGTATTTGATAAAATTGTTCCAAAGCCTTTACTTCAGACGCCGCTTTTGTATCGGACAATTTCGCTTGAACGGCAGGATCCTGAAGCACTTCTGTAATTTTCAAAGAGTTTAAGATTTCTCAACAATTTTCAATTGATGTCATAAAAAAGTAGTATTTTTCTTACCTTTCAAAGAATGCTTGAATCCTGATGAGGCATGAACTAGTACAAATTTACTTTTATTTTCCAAAAGCACCTACAAAATAAATCGATTCCAATGAATATTCTTGTTTTGCAACAAATATACAGTGATATAAACGATATTTATCACCTTATTGTCAGATTTAACAGCCTGTTGATTGAGATATTCAAAGAATTGGTCTTTAACAAATCCGGGCGATGCGAGTAGTACACATTTGACGACATCAAAATTGATGTGACGTAAAATGCCTTGTAATACGGCTTCATAGAATTTATTCAGACCAGTTTCGTGTCTTTTAGCATTATTTTTCCGTTTTCTTGGTATATTCATGTCGATTTTACTTCGTACCAGTGTCATACTTGATGTTATTAAACACACATGAGCCAATCCTTCCTGCATGATAACAGCGCCCAAGTCAGCGTTTTGTGTCACATCACAAGCCATATCAACGCGTTCCAAGGCTATTGTGTCCCATTCACGTTTTGTTAGTGAAAATTTACGATTCAATTCCAAATCTAATGTGTGATAGGCACCCATCTTAAAATAAATAAATACATTTTTTTTATCTTTTTATTTAATTGTAAATTTTTCGCTTGAAAATTACCTTGACATATTGATTTTCCTCGACATTTCGACCTTTGAGACGTAGCACACAAGCCTGTGTATCAAAATCAATGCTTTCTACACAAATGGTAAGAGTTGTACGTATTCGACTGCTACTTGACGAACCTGTCGCCGTTTCACTTTGAACTTTTCGGATTGTGGTCGATCGCACATAATCATCTTCGCTAATTAAATTGTAAGCATGCCACATATCTTCCGGTTCTTCCGGCACAAGGACCACTGACCTAAGAGATTTGACATTGAAACTCATTCAAAAATCGAAACAAAACACTTGAAATTTGAATTACTCACCCTTGCATGCCTTTATCAAGACTCTTAGCGATTAACTTCATTTTGACTTTCTCTTTCAATATTCACACACAATAAAAGAGATTCTTTTAAGTCACCTATGTTTCATTATTCTCTCAAAAATACTGAATTCAATGTACGTTAAAAAAGTACTTTTTTCGATTTTGTCTACATATACAATTTTCTCTTTGTTTATTTTGTACACAACATGCTCCACGAGTCAATAATAAAAGTGCTGCTCGTTTCTGTATTGACGGATCCCACGTTATAAAAAGACAAAAAAAGAAGCAAATTATCGCTAAAATTGACTGACAGATAATTTATTTTCCGCGTACTGACAACGTTTGTTATGTCAAAATTTAAACCGCCAAAATGTAAAATGCGTCCAAACTATGTTCACAATTTAATTCCATTTCACTAGATAGGTTGTGTGTAATCATGTCGATTTTCTATCGATGAGTCAACTTTCCATTCGCAAATTATGGTCTTAATGTGAATAACTAAACATTTCAAGTAATTATGAAATGATTTGGTTGGGGTTGGTTCACATTGTCTATTCCATTTTGACAGTTCAGTTCAAGTAATGACTACTTCATGACGAAAAGTGTCAAATGTCGGACCACATTGTTGAAGCCGCGTGGTGTATGTAAGCTAAACGACTTTAACGTGTGTGCATTTGTTTTCATATTCCTCAAGGAAGCATAAGCGGAGAGGTGCCTAATTACAAACGTGCATTCATTTAAACTTTTAAATTCACTTATTTCCACCAAGAAAATAACCGAAAAAATTAAAATGGTAAGCATTTTTTTATCTTTCATTTAAACATAAAATATTTTGAATTTTTCATAAAATTCGACGAAGAAATTCACTTATTATCAATGTGTAACGCTTGACCATATAACTTAACCTCAACAATGTGTTCTCTCATTTTTTCGTCGCATTTAGGCCGATGAAGAAGTTAACAAGAAAGCCTACCCATTGGCAGACCCAGTATTGACTACAAAAATCATGAATTTGCTTCAACAAGCAATCAGCTACAATCAATTGAAGAAAGGAGCCAACGAAGCAACAAAGACTTTGAATCGTGGTTTAGCCGAATTCATTGTGATGGCCGCTGATACCAAACCAATTGAAATTTTGTTGCATTTGCCATTGTTGTGCGAAGATAAGAATGTGCCATACGTCTTTGTTCGTTCAAAGCAAGCTTTGGGTCGTGCTTGCGGAGTCTCGCGTCCAATTATGGCCTGTTCGGTTACCATCAATGAAGGTTCACAATTGAAATCGCAAATCACTTCAATTCAACAGGAAATTGAACGTTTACTAGTTTAAGTGAAATCAAACTATTTTTTACACATTTTTTTTTTTTGATTTTTTTCAAAAATGACTATACAAATTAAGCACAGAAATAAATTCCAAAAAGAAATCATCAAAAAACACGTGGTCTTTGCTATTTTCAAACTTTTCTTTTTAGTAATTTTTTTTTCAAGGATTTTTCAAAAGATCACGTAAAAAATGTAAATATGCCGCCATTTTAACAATATGTTTGAGACTTACGAGAAGATCTTCTACTTTACATGGTATGTAAACATAAAATGTTTGTGAAAATGAATGCATGAGCCGTTGGTATCAACCATTATCAATTGAATATGTGTGTGAGTGTGATTTAATCTCGGAATTGTTGGCCTTATCCACCCTTTTAAATAAGATTCTGCTTGTTTTATTTGTTCAAACTTTATTATTATATTATGAAAATATGTGTTTTTACAGAACTATTCTTTTTTTTTAAGGTAAGTGTGGTTTGCTTGTTTTCAAAGGAAACCCTTTGGTGATAATCTAACTAATGAATAAAAAGCAGTTGCTATATGAAGCTGATTTCAGATCAAACTGAGATTTTGTGAGAAAGAAAAAAAAATGTATAAAAATAACTAGGAAAATGATAAGACGTTTAAGAGCCGCACATCATGCACTCGTCTTTGTTATCGAGAGAGCAAACCATAGCGGCCATTTGTTGTTCGAGATCAACAGTTGATGATTCGGCTGAAGGCTGCATTTCAGTTTCTGCATCAATGGTGAAATCGACATTCGAACCATTGCCGACGATTGATTTGTTCAACGTTGAATTATTCATGGATTTGTTTGCTTGATTCATCGCACGAGATGCGGCCAATTGTTTCTTGTCCACTGTGAATTGAATTGGGTTGGCAGCCGGTCGAGTGCGCAAGTAGTACATTCCTTAAACGAACAATGAAAAAATATATATTTAAATTGTAGATTGTTCAATAGTCAATGTCTGCCTTAAGACGGATTGCAAAGCAATTGAATAGCATACCGGTTTTAAGGCCAAGTTTCCATGCATAGAAATGAATCGAGGACATTTTTGCATAATTTGGCTGTGCAACGTGTAAATTGAATGATTGACTTTGATCGATGAAAGCACCACGATCTGCGGCCATATTCATTGTTGTTTTCACCGATATTTCCCATACGGTTTTGTATAAATCGCGAATCTTTTGTGGAATACGTGTTATATTTTGAATCGAACCATATTCGGCGATGATTTCGTTCTTCATGTCATCGTTCCACATTCCAATTTCGGTCAAATCTTTAATCAAATGATGATTAACCACTTGGAATTCACCAGACAACACACGACGATTGTAAATATTCGATGTATATGGCTCGAATGATTCGTTGTTGCCAAGAATTTGGGCTGTTTAAACGGAACAAAGTGAATGTTTTGTTATAAAATAAAGCGAAATTTGTCGTTGGGTCGAACATTTTTCAAATTACCTGTAGATGCCGTTGGCATGGGTGCCAAAAGAAGTGAATTACGAACACCATGTGCTGCAATTTTCTCCTTCAACGCGCTCCAATCCCATAGATCGGTCGGTGTCTTGTCCCACATGTCGTACTGAAGAATGCCTTTGCTAACTGGCGATCCCGGATACGTTTCATACGGTCCATCACGTTGTGCCAATTCACAGCTGGCTTCCAATGCACCATAGTAAATCGTTTCGAAAATCTGTTGATTCAGCTTGGCCGCTTCTTCACTTTCGTACGGGAAACGCATTAAAATGAATGCATCGGCAAGACCTTGTATACCAATACCAATCGGACGATGGCGCATGTTGGACTTTCTCGTTTCTGGCAACGGATAGAAGTTGACGTCGATAATTTTATTGAGATTTCGCGTAACCACTTTACTGATTTCCTTCAATTTTGCAAAATCGTATGTCTTATCGGCTTTCACAAACATATTAACGGCAATCGATGCCAAATTACAGACGGCAATTTCATCTGGGTCGGTGTATTCGACAATTTCCGTGCACAAATTGCTGCAACGAATCGTTCCCAAGTTTTGTTGATTGCTCTTCCGATTGCAGGTATCTTTGTATAGCATATACGGTGTGCCGGTTTCAATTTGTGACTGTACGATTTGGAACCATAAATCACGAGCCTTCACTTGTCGCACAAATCTTCCTTCACTTTCGTATTTTGTATAGAGCGTTTCGAACTCGTCGCCCCATTTCTAGCAAAAATGAAAAAAAGCATTGAATGTTTTACTGTAAATAACGGATTGGTCTGAGTTTCTTTAAAAATACTTACTTTGTAAAGATCTGGTGACTTGTGTGGGCACATTAGGCTCCACATTTCGTCGGTTTCAACTCGTTTCATGAACAAATCTGGTATCCATAATGCCAAAAATAGATCACGGCATCGTTCTTCTTCGTGTCCAGTATTCTTACGCAAATTGATGAAATCGAATACGTCGGCGTGCCAGGGCTCCAAATAGATTGCAAATGCACCTGGACGACGACCACCTTGATCAACATATCGAGCTGTCGCATTGTATAAACAAAAAAAAATGAATTTTTTATAATAAAATAAACCGAAATTTGTCGTTGGGTCGAACATTCTTCCATTTTAAATTACCTGTTGCATTGTATACTCGAAGCATGGGTATGAGTCCATTGGATGATCCACCAGTACCAGCGATCGTAGTACCCTTTGACCGAATACAGTGCACATTCAAACCAATACCGCCTGCAAACACGAATCAATTTTTAATTAATGTGCGAATTTAAAAAAGATAAGCATAAAAATCTTCTTCAAGCGACAAATTACCAGCATGTTGTGAGATTTTTGCACAACGCGTCAATGTCTCGTAGATGCCGTCCATGGAATCATCGGTCATTGCCAATAAAAAGCAAGAACTTAGCTGTGGCCGAGGTGTACCAGCGGCAAACAAAGTTGGCGATGCATGTGTAAAGTACTTCTCCGAAAGCAAATTGTACGTTTCGATTGCACCGTCGATGTCTTCGCCATGTATACCAACAGCCGTACGCATGAGCATGTGTTGTGGTCGTTCGACAATTTTTCCATTTATTTTCAATAAATACGAACGTTCGAGCGTCTTGAAACCAAAGTAATTGTAATTGAAATCACGATCATAGATAATGGCGGAATTCAAACGGGACGAATTTTTCATGATGACGTTATAGACGCTGTCACTGATCATTGGCGATTTTCGGCCATTTATTTCGGCATTGTACAAATCGCTGATTACATCTTAATGAGAAAAAAAAACAGATTTAGACCTTTATTTATTACGAATGCAGTGAAAACATCGAACTAAATATAATCAGACAAATGTGGCAAAACAAGGTTATATTCAGTGTGCATTCAGTCATACCTGAAAATGACTTCTTGGTCTCCTTGTGCAGATTCGAAACGCTGATCCGAGCTGCAAGCACTGCATAATCGGCGTGTTCAGTGGTCATCGAAGCGGCTGTTTCGGCGGCAAGGGTATCCAGCTCTTGCGTTGAAACACCAGTGTACAGACCGTTGATGACTTGGAGTGTGATTGATACCTTTAAAGGAGACGAAAAACATGACAAATTTCAAATTGAATTAGTATAGTCAAATGGGAGTATGTTTGCCGACCTTCAAATTCCAGCCGAAAAAAATATGCCGGAACAACGGTTATTTAAAAAATGAGATCGATTGACTTACCGGATCAACGTAGTCCATGTCCAAACCATAGCACAGTTTTTGAATACGAGATGTAATTTTGTCGAAATGGACCTCCTCCTTACGACCACCTATTCATTTTTAAAATCATCGAACAAAATCAGTAATTACAATATGATACTGGCAAAATGTAGCGATGACTTGACGAAAATCAAAATTATTCGAACAATAGAAGAAACAATGGAATTTACCTCGTTTATTGACAAACATCTTTGGACGAACCATATTGATCTATTCTCTTATTTTTTTTTTTCGATTTATTCGATGAACGCTAACAATAAAAAAACCTTTCTTCGTCTTGCAAACAAGTGTATGAGAACGCTGCAAATTTTTTTCTGCGATTGATAAAATTGGCGCGAACGCTATAGTGAAATGTCAAATATCTACTGAGTTTTTTTCAAACTTGACCGAAATTCTAGAAAATTCAAAAATGGTCGTTAAATCTATTGCAGAAATATTGATTTCAAGTGGATTTTTTATTTAAATAAAAAAATGCAATGTAAACGCATTATGCATCGACAGTGGCTGCATAAATACCCCGAACAGAGACACATAAGTGGAAAATGGAAAATGTTTTGAATTCGGTGGTACAGTTTCGGGCTTTCCATGCTCTGAGTGTTTTTTGGGCTTTTCTAGTCGAACTGTCATCCATTTGTATACATAGTTGTTTGGGATATTTGACGTTGTCAAATACGACACCAGAGCTGACACGTAATCTTACTGTATTTCAACATCAAGTCAATAATCCATTAAATTTTATTATTTTGATCAGAAAATCGAGTTAGTTTTGTGTATAAAATGGTAAAAAAATTTGGAAAATTGTCAAAATATTGGGAATTGTCAAAAATATTTATGTTAACCATGATTTTTGTTGTAGGTGTTGATCGCAGCCGCTGTATTTACCCGAGCAGGGAAAGGTATTTTGTCACATATATATTTTTTTTTTCGCTGGGCACTAATTTTTCGATGATTTTTAGTGATAATTTCCCGTCAATTCATTGAAATGACAAAGGCTCGCATTGAAGGGCTGTTGGCTGCATTTCCGAAGCTCATCACATCCGGTAAACAGCATACGTTCGTTGAATCGGACTCAGTACGCTACGTATACCAACCAATGGAAAAATTATATATGGTGTTGATAACAACAAAAACATCGAACATTCTCGAGGATTTGGAAACATTGCGTCTCTTCTCCAAAGTGGTACGGAAAAATTTCACAAACATAATTCTATTTGCCGTGGTTTTCAGTAATTTAATTATGGTTTTTATCTTAGATTCCCGAGTATTGTCGCAATTTGGATGAGAAAGATATCAGCGAGAATGCTTTCAATTTAATTTTTGCATTCGATGAAATCGTTGCACTTGGCTACCGTGAGAGTGTAAATCTATCACAAATTAAAACGTTTGTTGAAATGGATTCGCATGAAGAACAGGTTTACTTGGCCGTTCGTAAAACACAAGAACGTGAAGCGAAACAAAAGATGCGAGAGAAAGCAAAAGAATTGCAACGTCAACGATTGGAAGCAAATAAACGTGGCGTTTCATTGGGACGTGGCAACATCAGTGGCGGTTCAAGCTTTGGTGGTGGTATTTCAGGCGGTAGTTTTGGTGGCATTTCAAGTACATCAGTATTGTCGCAGCCATCGGTTGGAATTGGTGAAACTGCACCATCGCCTGTTAAGTAAGTGTTTAGATTTTTTTTTCAAAATGTCCAAGGTTGAAGCTGAAATTAACTTGACCAATTTTATTACTATCATAGAAAGCCGGCTCCGACACGTAATGCTCTTAAATTGGGTGGAAAATCGAAGGATGTCGATAGTTTTGTTGATCAATTGAAGAGTGAAGGAGAGAAAGTTACGAACTTAGCACCGACATCGGTGAGCAGTGCTGCTGCACCCGCTGCTCGTGCCAAGACCAGCGTTCCCACAGAAGAGTAAGTGACACTTCAATATGCCATAGACGCAATTTAACATTTTTGTAATTTCAGTGTTCATCTACGCATAGAAGATAAGATGAATCTGCGCATCGGTCGTGAAGGTGGTTTACAATCATTCGAATTATTTGGTTTGCTAACGCTTAAAGTTGCCGATGAGAAATATGGAAAAATTAAGGTTCAATTGGAAAACAATGCCAACAAAGCCATTCAATTGCAAACCCATCCAAATGTGGATAAAGAATTATTTAGATCGGCCAGTCAAATTGGTCTTAAAAATTCAACAAAACCATTCCCGGTCAATACGGATGTTGGTGTTTTGAAATGGCGCTATCAAACACAAGATGAAACAGCAATTCCACTTACAAGTGAGTACCAAACGATTTTTATCGCATTTTTGGTGACATTTAACTCATGTCATATATGTCGATTCAACAGTTAATTGCTGGCCATCTCAAAATGGTGAGGGAGGATGTGATGTCAACATTGAATACGAATTGGAACATCAACATCTTCAACTACAAGATTTGACATTGTCTATTCCACTGCCGTGAGTTTTGAATTGATGTTTGGGACATTTTTTTGAACGAATTGAATTAAGTTGATTTGATGTTTATGTTTCAGAACTGGATGTCAACCGACTATCGTTGACTGTGAAGGTGACTACCATTATGATAAAGGCAAGAATCGTCTTCAATGGAACATTTCGATTGTCGACTCTTCAAATCCGGCTGGTTCAATGGAATTCAGTTGTCCATCATCCATTCCGGCCGATTTCTTCCCGGTTGAAGTGACATTTGTATCAAAAGTACCATATGCTGAATTGAAAGTCTTACAAGTTACGAAAATTGAAGATGGTTCAACTGTACCATTCTCAGTGGAAATGGTATTTTATCCAGAAAAATATGAAATTGCCTAAAGTGAATCACATCCATTTAACTGCAAATTATGTATCATTAATATTCCAATGCGCGAAACTATATCGAAAGGTGTTATTATTTCAATTTACTATTATAAAATACAATATGCTTATTCATTGTCAAATAAATTGATTTTATTTTGAAAACAGACATTTCATGTGGATTTTTTTTTTATCGAATCAAAGAATAAGCAGCCTAATCATTTTGATTTCTCTTTCTCTTGCGGAGGCTGAAAGATAAAAGATTTGCCGTGTATTAAGTAGAAACATTGTTCGATGCAAACTAACTTACTTTTTTTTATTGACCTCTTTGAAATCTTTCACTTCTCGTCTACAAATGGGACAATTCCGGTCTGAAGTTTGCGCGTTTTCCCATTCAAACCAACAAGTAACACATGTTTCCATATGTCTGCACGGCAATAAAAGTGCATTTTTCTTATTTTCGTAGCATAATATGCAATCCTCATCTTCTTCTTCAACTTCTTGAAGTCCCGAAATAATATACTTGAAATTGCCAACTCCTCTCCAGAAAATTGGATCACCGTTTTTCAACAAAAGTCCAAATCTTTTTCCACGATGATTCACATTCAGGGTACCGTGTACACCGATTAAACATTCATTTGGTTCAATATTTGTTGGACTATTTAACACTTTGCCGATTCCAGGTTTAGTGTTATTATTCATTTCTGCCATTATAAAGAGTCGCTTAGTAGATGTTGCGAGATGAATGAAAAATGCAATTCCATGTACATCATTTAAAGGACCCAAATTTTCATCGCTCTCATATTTTACGTATATGTCAACATCTCCTGTCTGATTCCACATTCCTACCTTTATGGAGGTATGGATTACTTGAACATAATCAGCAGCTCTTCTCTTTATTGTAGTCCTTATGCCACGTAGAGCAGGTTTTATTGGATCCAAAGCTATTTGAAATCGACGCATGCTTTAGGAATTCTTTTTTAACTGAATATTTGAATGGAATACATACCCAATAAGAGTCGGACCTTTCCACCCGTTTTTTTGAATAAATATTCACAAGTGTAACCAGCGATGTGAGCACCAAAACCAAAACCAGTCACATCAACATGAGATAAATTCTTAACACATTTATTTCTGGTCGACGTCGCACATTTTTCACCTATGTCCAACACCAAGTCACGAGCCATCTTTGCAACATATTCAAGTCGACGGGTTTTCACCATTCTACCTATAGTAGAATTCATTTTTGTATCTGTCGATGAATTTGTCACGTACGTATACGATACAATACAAATATTGTTTCCAGATGCCTCGAACCATTCTTAAAAGCAGAGAAATTGCCGTTTTACACAGTTGTGAGGAATTTTATCATATTTTTTGCACTGCTGTTTATCAGGAGAATGATAGAGAGAAAAACTTACCATTTGCAAATGGAGAAAACGATTCTATGGGAAACAAACGATTGATATTTAGATATAGCTCAAGCGCTTAAAATAATTTGGTAAAAAACAAATGGTAGTGTGGTGTCTTTACCGTTTACAGAATCGAATATATTCTCAACGCCGTGAAAGAGTAACGATAGACCTTTTTCATTATCTAACCGGTCAACCAAAGCCGAAGGAATGCTTCCATTGACTTCAGCCACATAGAATTCACGTTGACTGCAAAATAATGCGTAGTTATTTTAACTTGCAAGGGATACAAATAAACATTCAATACATACGAATCAGTTGTTATGCACATAAAATAAATTGGATCTCCTTTATATCGAAATTTATCAATATTAAAATTGTCGGCTGGTTTTTTTGAGCTTGATGGTGATGAAGAAGATGAAGACATGGCACTACCACCAAAAACACCATTCGATAGCGTTGCAAAAATTATTGTGTGCAAGAAAATATACATTTTTTTCCCTTTGCTCCAAGTATTTCCAAAAAAATAAAGACAAGCGTCTCAAGCGAACGAACTTTAATTAACTGTATACTAAAGGCGGTGTATACTTATAAAAGAAGAAAATGAAAAATTGTAAAAGATGAAGTGACAACTAAGCACATTTAGAATACCTTTTTTTCAATGAATGACGTTATAAATTATAAATGGAATTTTCTTATAATTCCATTTACGTTAAAACAATAAAAAGTAAACGAGTGAATAAGTCTTATTCACCCAAACAAAACTGGGAAATACTAACAATGGATTAATAATTCTTGAAAAATCGAATTTATTTATTTCAATTATCACTCATATTTATCATAATACTAATTACAAGGAAATTCAAAACTTAGTCTTAATTGCGACATCAATTTATAAGAATGCGCGAAATATTTTCAACATTTACAGTAAACCGAAAACATGCGCCTAACATTTATCACATACACGTGGAAAGTAGACTGCTTTCTTTATATAAAAAGGTGTTATTATTTTTATTTACTTTATAAAAGACAATATGACGCAATTCATTGTCAAATATGACGCAAAAAACCAAATTTTTAAAATGGAAATCGAAGTTGTCCTATATTTTGTTTACAAAAATGTTTGTCGCCACACAATCGAATTGTGTACAAATAGTAGATATTGAAAGGCACTGTTTATATAATATTACTATTGATTTGACTTTCGGTCGAATTAGTGATATGTCGTGATACTGTTGATAGTACGATATAAATAAATCAACCCGCCTTGGATCGTGAATCAGGAACACACCAGGACTTATGATTGGAATCCGAAACCTTTTCTTTGGCCCTTAGAAATAAATTCTCCGAATTTTGGTTGTGTTCTTAATTTGCTTTGTAGAATTTGTTTATTTGCATTCCAATTATCAGCCGTATTCATTCTTAATCGTGGCGCCTGATTGAATATTTTCGGTTGATATCCTTTCACCGAGAGCGTGAAAATGATGTCTTCAAATTCTTCTGGTGTAAAAAGTCCTTTGTGTGCAGCAGCCAATGTAGTAAACTCTTCCATTTTCATTCCCACGAATCGAATAAATTTCAAGCAGTCGCCGAGTTGAATTTTCAAATTATCCGCTTGATTTTCATTCAAGCCCTTTTGGCGGCATGCATTTTTTGCCCATTTCAGACTCGCCTCAAAAACCTTCACTTCGCAACATGTTAAGTCCAGTTCAAGGATTCGTTTCAAAGTGTCCTCATTGCACCGTTGAAACATATCTGTGGACAATATTTGTTCCGATGCTTCGATTATCTCCTTCTCACAGAATTCAATTAATGATTTATTTTTGAGAAACAATGCTAGTTGATAGCCCCAGCACAAATTGTTAGCACTCAATTGACTTTTAAGGAACATGGCACATGCGTCGACATAACCTAGAACGTCGTACTTATCCGCCAAACGAACAACAGTTTCGATATTTTCCATTTTTAGCGTCACATCACTCAGATAGAAAAACTGGAGGAAATCTTTGAATCCTTCGGCGCTGGCATCTGCAATTTTCACTTCGTTTCCCTCTTTCAATGTACCGTAGAACATGCTGAAGAAAACCGGGCTTAGAGCGGCCAAAAAGGCTTTATTTGCTGGAACCTTTTGATCCACTCCATTGACGCTGAACACAAAACGAACATCAGCCAATTCATCGTTTAAATAGAGTTTAGCATTCACTTCAGATGCCGCATTATTTTTTAAAACCATAGCCATTCCGAGACAACACTTGTTTTTTTTTAAATGAAAGAAAAAAATTATTTTTGAATAAATTGAACTGTTTAGGAATCAACTTGATTATTTTGTTTAACACTCGAAATATGAGAACGCTTAAGTTGAGAGTTTGACAAGTAATTAACCAAACAATTTTTCTGGACATTCAACAAAGCATTCGACAAAGTATGCAATAATGTGTATGCCTGTGCATTTGTATACTTTATGAATTGTTAACAGAAAAGAATTCCGCAACACAAGCAAAAAGTGACTAACCAGTTACCAATACAAACAAATGGAAATTATTGTATGTTATATTATTAGATTCATTTTTCTTTATTCGTTCTTGGGACTCTTATCATAAGAGACTTACTCGTCTCAAAACGTAATGAAGTCACATTTGTAACTTGTCACTTCATATGCCGCATTTTTTAAAAACTATTGCCATTTTGTTTGTTGACAGCTTTGATTCTGGTTACTTGAAATTTTATAAATGAAACAGAAAATTTTCGAATTTCACAATAATATTCAACTCAAAATATGCGAACGCTTAATTAAACATACAAATCTTGACATTCACATTCGATAAAGTATGGGATGGATGTATATTTGTATATTTTATGCTTTGTTTATAAGTTTGTTTACAGATAAAACTAGACCGATATCGGCAAAAAGTGACCTGCACTCGTCCATATCATATTCGATATGTTTCTAATACCTTCACAGCAAAGTTATGATAATAATGGCCTCTTATCCACCTGACGCACAGAAAATGCGGTTCGCTCAATACTGTTTTGCATTGGTGTGAAAAAAACCCTTATAGAGCTGTTTTTCGCAGCGGAGAAGTGCGTACACCATCCATATGAATTTTCAAATTCTTTACAGAAACACAAGAAATGGCCTTTTGTCTAGCTTTTTGCTCAACGCAAACTTTATAATTTTTTTAGTAATAATAGTAAACAAAATGGATCAATAATTTTTTTTGAATCTTTTTTGCTAAAACTAAAACATTTCGTAACATTTGCTTCCTTTTTATGCTGATATTTCTTACAAACATTGACCTAGAAGCGCTTAAAACTTGAACATGAAACCAGTCCACTTCGATCAAAGTCGTTATCAAATGGTTTTTAATGAAATGTTACAATGAGATCATCATCTAATTTCACTTATTTGATATAATAATCAGTATATTCGTTTTCCAGGCGAATTTCATATATATTTTGTGAACAAATAACTATTGGCTGAAATCAGACATTATATTGAGAATTGATATTCTGATTTTGATTTTTTTTTAATGATTTGTGCCTGTGTAAAGTGTGTGCTGCTCTCTATCACAGTTATTCTGAAATTCAGGGAAATACGATGAAAGAGCCCTTTGCACCAAAATGCGCCCAAATATCATTTTAAGCAGTGATAATTATCTTTTTATTTATTTTGCTTCATTATAATATAGTAATCTTTCATCATCATTTAGAGAAATTCACTTTGATTGCCGGCAATTGTCGGGTCTATTCATCTGTTATGTTTTGTTTATTGGATTTATTTTGTATCATTTCTCTATATTATAAAACAATAAAGTCATTACAAGTAATCATCGTCCTAACAAAAATACTTCATTTTATTCGCAGTTCAAATTATTTCCCTTTTGTCCATGTTTTACGATAACCTGCAAATTACAAAATGAAATAAAAAATTCTTACATATTTTTCAAATGATTTGGGAACAATAAACATTAGGAACAATTTTTTCTCACCGAACATTCGTCTCTCGCAAAAACTATTCCTTGAAATTGTCGTCAAAGGGAAGTCAATTGCATCGAAAATGATCTTTCACGAATTGAAGCGTTGCTTCCGTTTCATTCTGAGCGTCCGTCCAATAGTTGTCCAGAGTGCGTTGCCAGTTTTCGATCATTGTTTCTGAAAATACATAAATATTCACGAAAATAAATTAGAGTTCGTCACAAAATTACCACAAATTGGTTTGGTATTTAATTAGCAGCAAATTGGTACAAAAAACTTCAACAAATCACATCAAATACGTTATGCGCGTTGTGCTTTTCTAATGTTCTGATAAACAGACTAAATATGTGTAATGCGAATGTAAGAGTCGGTGTTTTCGATGTGTGCAAACACCCAAATATAACTGTATCTTGATGTGTTGCGCTCACCACTACAAAGAAATGACAACTTTTTCCACAGCGCATATGATGTCATCATTTGGGTATAGACCACACATCACTCCTTCTCCTTTACTCTCCTTTAAAACCTGTGAATTTGCCGTAATTTTCATGTTCAGATAATTTTAATCCCGTAAAATTCATGAAATTGATTGTTTAAAAAAGTGTCATGTGCCTGCAATGAATAAATTGTCCTTACCTTAAATTTAAAAGAACAATTCAAAATCCATTTTCCATTGTTTCGATTAAAAGATCGGAAATTTGAATATTAAAACTGAAATTGTGAGTGTGAACGTACTCATCGAATAAAGTTGTCAATTGCGGCGCATATCGGCATCATATACCAAGCGTACATGAGCTTAGAAGTTTTTTAGTGTTTCCGTCATTTAACAATAGCCCATTTTTTGATATTTTTCTTGGAAATTCGACCGGAATCATATAAAAAATTGATAATTCCGTGCAAAAATCATCGTTGACCGACTTGTGACATTAGAAATTTACGGAAAAAGTAAGTAAAAATGAGTTTTTTTTTATCAAACACCAACTAGATGCTGTCGTTGTGTCAGTTAGTTTGGTTTGAGGTTGGATTTTATTTCCGTCGTCACCAATTGGATATATTTTTTTGTTTCTCAATTAGATCTGAGCAATGCAACCAAGTCGAACTAATAAACCATCGTCGGATCGTCGTAATAAGCAGACTGACCGATTGGATCGATTGAACGGTGAAATGGAAAATCATTATGGTCTCCAAATGTTGAAAAAGTTGTACCTAAACAACGAATCAGCCGACGTATTTTTCGTGTTCAGCACCGGTGACGATGAATCGGAACGTGTGCCGGCACATAAACTGATTTTGTCTGCGGGCAGTGATGGTTTTAAAAATTTGTTTGCCACTGCCGAAGATGGTCAAATCGAGTTCAAACTCGACGACACCACAACCGTCGCGTTCAAAGAATACTTACAGTTTTTCTATATGCCGAAGGTTAAACTAACCTTTGAAAACTTCGCCGTGGTGTTGCGATTGGCCAAAGACTACGGGAACGAGGATTTTCTGACCATATGCAGCCATTATTTGGACCATAAATTGACTGCTGAAAATATCATCTGGGGATATGGTTTGGCCATTCGTTATGGTTTGGCCATTTTGAAGAAGAACTGTGAACAACGTATCACCGAATCGGCGACTGATGTTTTCAAATCGAACAGTTTCCTCGAATGTGATCGCGATGTGCTGAAACACATTTTACAAATCGATGCATTGAAATGCTACGAATCACAAGTGTTGACTGGGTGCTTCATGTGGTATTTGCATGCAATTCAAAAATTTATAATGGAACAAATAGTAACTTATCATTTTTTCTTTGAATAAATAATAGGGCCAAAGCGTCGGCCGTCCAGAAGAATTTGGACAGCACCGATACCCATGTGCTACGGGCCGAATTGGGCGATTTATTGTTTGAAATTCGCTTTAAATCGATGACCATGGAATGTTTTACATTGATTGTTGGTTTGTATGGTGGTTTTTTCTCGGGTACGGAACTGGAAGAAATCATTCAGATGATCACGTTCAGTGACTACAAATCGGAAAAATTCAACAGCAAACTTCGTTTGATCGGTATACCAGCCAATGGCGATGCAAATGTTGGTGGTAACAATGGTGCTTCTATCGGCAGCTGCGCTGTTGGTGGTGGTGGTGGCGGCGGTGTTTCCACCGTAACCAAGAACCGTAGCGGCAGTAATGATCACAACAAACACGATATATTGCACTGCAATCGAATTCTACAAAAGTCCGTGACGCGCTACAACATCTCAAAGGTCGAAAAAACCCGATTCGAGGCAAATTATCCTCTATGGCTTCATTCGTTCAACTGTGCCCAAGTGTACAATGTCAATGACAACGAGATTAAAACCCTCATTCCAATATCGGTAACCATCGGAGAAACAAAAGTCAACCAAACCAAAGTCATGTGTACTATAAAAACAACACTCTCGTCGGTTGATGAAAGTCATGTGCCATTATGCTGTCCAATTCGCATTGAACCAAATCGTGTGTACACAATCACATTGGAATTGAGCGATGACGTTGCACATGCCGAGATTTACACACAAACCGAACTAAAAAAGTTCACCGAATTGAAGAACGGCACCAAAGTACGATTCATTCCAGACCCGGATAATAAAGGGTACGACACAACCAAAGCTGGACTGGTACAACGTCTAGTATTCAAGCGCACCTAGAGTGACACAACATTTTTTTTTTTATTCGATTTGACGACTGACGAACATTTTTCTTTTTCTTATTTTTGGATTGAATTTAACATCCAACTTTTTTCATATATATATTTTTTTTTCTATCCTAAAAAAAGACAAAACAATGGAGTTCATTTAACCATAAACTTAAGCAATGAAGCTTGAATTAAGCTTAGAAATAAAAGCTAAAGTCAAAATAAAGAATGTCATTGTTAAACATTTCATATATTTCAAATATTCAATAAAAAATATTATTGTATTTTTCATTTGGAATTTGTGCAGCTGGCATATACTATCCTGTGTCATGGCGGAATTGTTCTTAAAATCAAAAAAAGGTAAACAAAAAAGGTCCTATATTTTCGAAAGTCACGATTCCATTTACAATAAAATTTGAAAATTATTTCTCGAATTAAAACGCAAATTTTGTTCATTGTTATCAATAATTATGTTACAAAGACAATTTTCCCGAAAAAAAATCACCAGACAAAAGCCGTGCATTCAATATATACATATTTATACCATTCGATCCATTTCAATGCGATCAAACCCAGCTCGGTGCAATTCGTTGCCCATTTAGTCGCCAAGAAAATATTTTCCTTCACATAAATTGTAATTTTGCGGACACGATTCAAGGCCTTTCGTTCTTTGTTCAATACTTTTAAATTGATGACACCATTTTCAAAACAAATCCCATCGTTCAAATGATCAATTTTAATTTCCTTAACTCTCGGCGCATGTCGCATGAACGGTATTAAAGTATCAGATTGTATGTGATTGGAATAGATTCTTTGCAATGGTTTCAGAATCGTCAAAGTGACCATCGTAGTTAATGCCCAATTCCCTTAAATATTTAAATAGGAATTCCAAAGCAGAAATTAAACTTACATAGTTAAAGCGTCACATATCGCAAGAATCTCATGTAAATTATACTAATCAATAAGAGTCTATATGTGATTTGCGAGTCCCCTTATAATTTTCGAGTCAGTAAAAAGTCTCAATGACAGGTTTTAAGCGAATGTCAAATCGTAACAATTTTTTGAAAGAAAAATTCTTATTCAGAACATCGAAATAGTAAATAAATGTTTTATTTTTTTATTATTATTATCAATAAATATATATTTTTTTTATTTTTTTTTATTAAACATGTGTTTTGTCTCATTTCAAAGGCATAAGAAAATATATTTATGTGTCGAAATACCAAAAATTGTTCAAACAATTTTGCGAGAAATGGGATTTGGCTGCCGTACTAGTTTATCTCTTATTAAAACAGGAAGTATCGCTGAAATTGAAGAATATGTCATCAAAAATCGTGAAAAGCTATGAAAATAAATATTCCTTCAAATTTTTGCCCGAACATCGGAGACCTATACAAAACATGCCAAATTATATTATCAGAATTTTTTTATCTTTATGTATATGATGAGTGAAAAGTATTTTTGTAAGATATTAGCTTCAAATTTTCCGAGTCAGTCATAAGCCCCTTGGATTTTTAAGTCTTTTATGTCTCGTTTCATGCAAGAACATATAATCGAATGTCAGCACCACGTCAATATGAACGCCGTCATCCTGGATATATCCATGTCCCGGATCCATCAAATTGTCCCATGTTAACGAAAATGCTGTCTCCATCACCGAACAGTAGTTAAGTTTTTTTGTTTTTATTGTATCCAGTGTGGTGGTAAGCGATGAATTCAATTTACATGCCATTTTCATTTGGCATTTGAAGTCATCCATGTCATCTTTGGATTCAACACGAACCGTCAATCGCCCCCATTTGTCTTTGAACACAGTCAATTGCCATTCAACATTTTGCATTTCAAAAATAGGTAATTTCACTGCCATTAGCATGTCAATATTCTTGACAACCAATCGGAACTTGGCGACATCATCAGTTAATTCTTTAACACACAACATTTCACACTTCTTTTTGTTGTTCGGATCATTCGCTTTGATTGTTATTGACATCTTTATTCCGTCATTTGGTGTGACAAACCCATTTTTCGTGTTCATCAAATCGTCCCAGAGAACTAATGTTTTAATACCCCATCCAAATTCGACATCATCAAACACATTTGGATTAGCACAGTCTTCGATTGGAAATTTGTTTCCGTGCAGTTTCACAGTTAGCGATGCTATATGCGCTGGATTTGACTTTTCATCACAAAACAAGAATACACCAAGACATGCATTTGATTTATGAACATGTTTTTTGATGATAATTGTCCATGGATTGTCTTCAAATTTTAACATTAAATCGTTCAATTTACTAATTTTTGGAATTTCAATGATTTTGGTATATCCCATCATGATGCCAACAAAACTCGATTTATATAGGGTAAAAAACACAAAAAATACTCTATTTAAATTGAACTTAATAAAATCTTTTGGAAAAATATTGTAGAAAAATATATGTAAATTTTTTTCTTCACTCGACCAAGTTCACTTTTAAAATGAAATCAAAATGTAAAAGTCACAAACCATCGATGAACTACATCGTCATTAGAGTTCTTATTTTTTTAAACGCTTAAGCAGTAACCACTCACATATACATTTCCATTTGCATTATAGCTACGATTGTTACTGTGAGTTCTGGGAATTTAAGCGAGGTAAAAATGTACAATTGCAATCAATACAAAATAATCTCCGAAAAAAGTAGGACACAAAAGATAAAAGAGGAATTTACATTTGCTTTAGGTGTAAAGGCAAAGAGCAGCTTTAGCGTTGTAAAATTTTATGATATCGTGTCGTGCAGATGTTGGAAATTTGGTATTTTTTAATCCTTTTTTTAGAGTAAATGAAGTAATAAAAAAGCGAAAGCATATTGACCAGTTTCGAAACAATATTTTACCTGTTACACCAAAATTTGTCGATTTGACCATATTGTGAATTTTGTATTATTTGTGAACAAAACCTATTCAATTGTTTTTCATATTTTTGGTCTTTATGATTGCTGTAAAATCTCTTTGACACATCTTAGCATTGAAATGAAATTGAATATGAAAAAAAAAAAATTCCTACAGAAAGTCTTCTAACTACAGAAAAAAAACTAATAAAAAAAAACTACGGCAAAAACTTTAACAAATGCATCATGTTATCCAGGTCGATTTTTTATATTCAATATTAATAGATGGAATTCTGTTCGATATGATCATCTACCGATCCAATTGAGTCTGAAATAAACAAATTCTCAGGCATATGAAGTAGGAATAGTATTTAAAATAGTAACTTACAAACATGATTTTTTACTTTTGACCACTTCAACCTTTTCTACTTCTGCTCTGCAAATGGGACAATTTGGTTCTTCACCTTTTTTTTCTTGCCTTGCTTTCCACTTTTCCCAACAAGCAACACAAGTGCTCATGTGTTTACACGGCTTTAGGATAGCATTAGGCCTGTTCATAAAGCATACAGAAAAATTCCTCCCCAGAATACTAGTTTTTTCAATGAAAGGCCGAATTTTTTTCCACGTTGACCATAGTTCACGGTACCGTATACACCGATTGCACATTCATTTGACTTTGTGTCAGACTGAATAGATGTTGGTTCATCATTTCTTACCACAGAGCCATTTTTATTTTCATTCAGTTCGGCCGTTATAAAGAGCCGCTTAGTAGATGTTGCAAGATGGATGAAAAATGCGATTGCATGTTCATCATTTATGGGACCAAATGTCTCATATTTTACTTACACATCAACATCTCCAATTGGTTTCCATATTCCAACCTTCTTAGAGATGTGAATTACTTGGATATAATTCGACTCACCTTTTTTGATGATATTCTTTATTTTTGTTTCGAACGGAGGAGTTTTTATTGGATCCAAAGCTATTTGAAATCAAAACATTTATTATTTGGAACATACTTAATAGTGATCGAACCATTTTGCCTCCTTTGTAAAAATATTTACAAGTTTGGTCAGCGATATGAGCACCAAAACCAAAATCACTAACATCAATCTTCGATAATTTTGTTAAGTAGTTCGCTCGCTATCTTCGCCACATATTCAATCCATTTAACGGTCATGCCATCGACCAATTTAGCAGGGAACGATGTTGAACTTATTTCATAAGGACATGATACGATACAAAAATTGTTTTCAGATTCTTTGAACCATTCTAGGAAAACAAAATACTTCGAATTTTTTTAAAGACGAAACAAACATTTGATACAGACCAAATAAAATATAGCATTTAACAAAACTAAATTGCTTTTCTTTACATGTAAATATATGCATAGATATTGGTTAAAAAATATAATGTTTGACGAATGAAAGAATGAGCGAAAGAAATTTACCTTCGGCATTTTTAAAAAAGTATCCAATGAAAAAATAATGATAAAATTCCGTTTTTAAAATAAAAAAATAAGATAAAAGAAAATTCACCACATAAAAAGAGATCCGAAATCGAAACCCCATGAAAAAACAACGATAAAGCTTTTCCGTTATTTAGCTCATCAACCAAAGTTGACGGGATACTTCCATTTACATCAGCAGTATAAAAGTCATCTTGACTGTGGAGAAATTTATATGAATTTTTATAATAACATACGATTCTGATGTTATGCACGCAAATGTAATCAAGTCTCCTTCTTTTTGGCAATTACACTCTTTTAAAAATGCAAAAGAAATGATCGCGCTCAGAATGATAATTTTTTTACTTAATCTTTTTCTCTTTATTTCAAGCATGTTCAACAACATTTGTGCATGTTCAAATACTGCACCGTCTCATGATACGTAAATATTTATAAGAAAAAAGAAAAATTCCAAAAACTGATGTATCATTATTATCAAATAATCCATTTTATAAACATAATGAATATGTTTACTCATTTGCTAAATAGTTGATTTTACGTTTTTTTTTTCTATTTTTTGGAATGAAAAATTTAAATGAAAATCGTCAGTTAGACAAACATATTTTCAATATCGAAAATTGTTTAACAAAACCACAAAATTTTATAAAAAAATACTGATTAGATAGAGATTATCGGGTCCGATCTCTTGAAATTGGATGCCAAATGGAAGAGTATGTTCGACCCTGTATTCGGCTAGTCCTGTCGTTATATTCAAATGGTGTTTTCTTTGTCTTCGTCGTCACTGATTAAAATGATATCCATACCCTCATCAACTGGACGCCCACGTTTTGCGTTGTTCACAATTGCACTTCGATTAGCTGTCACAGATGCACATGATTTACTTTCGTTTCCGATACTTGCACCATCATCTTTTTCACCAGCTGTTTCATCTTTTGACATTTTTGATCGCTTTCCAGGTTGTTCGGCTTGTTCTTTAATCGGAGTTAATGTCAAATTATTCCGACGAGAATTTGAACGCTTTAAATAATAAAAATAAATAAAATTAATAATCCGTTTATTCAAGTATCGATGTTAATTGAATGGAATTGATTACTCACCAAAGTTTGACGGTCATTAGTTTTTGGCGTAGATGTATTCACACAATCTGGATCTATTGCCTCATTATCATCTATGCTCATTGATTCAAAAGAATCATATTCAACGTTACCAGTTTCAGGATACTTGTTTTTTACCTTCTTAACTTTGATGTTGGTCGAGTTAATAAACTCGATGGTCAGTTCGATGGCGATTGTAAAATCTTCCTTGACGTAACCACAATCCGGGTTAATCAAATAATCCCAAGCCAAAGAAAATTCTGTCTCCATCGCCGTAGATGAGCCAAGTTGTTTTATTTTTTCAGTCTCAAGTGGGATAAGCGATGAATCCAACTTACATGACATTTTCATTTGGTAATTGAATTCATATTCATCGTCACATTCAAGTCGAATACCCAATCGATCCGATTTATTTTTGAACACCGTAATTAGCCATACTATATTTTTGAATTCAAACTTCGATGATGGTATCACTGCAATCAATTGGTCAATTTTCTTGACCATCAATAAAAATTTAATGGATCGGTCATCAATCGGGGTTTGTACAAACTGCAATTCACACATATTCTTCTCTTTTGGATCATTTGATTTAATTGTCACTGACAATTTTATGCCGTTATTTTCTGTAAGAAAACCATTTGTTTTGTTCATTAAATCGTCCCAGGCAATTAATGAGTTAACACCCCATCCGAATCCGTTCCCAAACACATGCGGGTTAACATACTCTACATTATCACATATGTCTCCATGCAATTTTACTGACATCGATGCAATATATGGTTGACGTGTATTTTTCACACAATACAAATAGACGCCAAGATGTGGTTTTGATCTATATTCGTGTTTTAGAACGCAAATTTCCCATGGATGGATCATCTTGTTCTTTGGTGTATACCAAATTTTACCGTTCAATTTTCCGATATTTGGAACTTCAATTATTTTGGTAGAAATATTCTCCATCATGAACACCAGTAAATACAAATACACTCAAAATGCACTTTGAATATAATAACACTGTATAAATTGTTTAAGTATAAATTATTTCCGAACTCTCTTAAGCTTGTTTACTGGACGAAGTGTTCTCTTGAAATGAAACTGATATGCAACAATCGCACGCAATATAAGTATATTTGAAAAAGTAATTAGTCATTATAATGTCACATGCACATGTATTTGTTACTTTACTGACAATGTTAAAATAAACAACCCGAACAGGGAAGCGTACCAGACGATATGGTTATGATTTTATGGTGGTAGAAAGTAGAATTTACATCATTATACAATGTGTTTTCACAATTTTTAGAATCCTTTTTCACACACACAAAAAACAGTAGTAGTAGTGTATTGGTGTATATGCAAATTTACCAATAGTTGTTAAAATATCTATTGGTATATCGTCACTACAACAGCATAATTGACACTTATTTTGGCGCGATGGACCAAATGTCAACTGCGCTGTTTTAATGACGATTGCATGAAAATATCAATAGATATCTTAACATCTATTGTTAAATTTGCATATACACCAATACATTTAAACAATTCTACTGCTAATGTTTTGTGTGTGCATTTAGACATAAGGAATCCTAATTTTACGTAAATGAAATATAAAAAACGATATAATAACTCATTTTGACCTTTTTAAGTATATTACCTACTACGTAAAACCTATTTTACCTTAATAAGGCAGTAAAGTTGAAAGAGTTCAGCTTTTATTACTCTGCATATGTATTACATTCCGAAGGAAAATAATTTTTCAAAAATCTAACACATATTAACCTGCAAAATCCTCTCATCTTGAGCAAGGACATTTTTTATTACGCAACAGGGAGTAAAACAATTTTAAGATTTTGAGATCTCACAATTTTATTTATCATTCAAAAATATTACTTGTCAATTTCACCAATTTCGCAAACAAATAAAGGACCACCGCAAAGAAAAATTAAAACAAACAAAGATGTTTAAAAATTCTTCTTATTAAAAATTATTTTGTTATTATTAGATATTAGCATAATCAGATCATAATTATTGAGAGTGTTTTTATTTTTTATTCAAGTTCAAACGTGCAACATGGCAGATTAAGGAAGAATTGAATTAAGATTTGGTTGTTTACACGATCTGAGTCCAAATCATTTTCTTTTTTTCTCAGAATCAGTGCATAAACACTACAACTGAAACAATACAACGTTGCCAATATTCGACATTGTTCAAGCACCGCTGCGAACTAGAATGCCACGACAAAATGATTGTTTATTATTCCTGTGTGTTGATATAACATCTGAAAAATATCACTTTTTATAGCAACAACGTACTTCGCATGAAGAAAATGAAAGAAAAATATTGAGATATAAACAAATAAGTATCGCATCGAACTACAGCTTTTGTACTTTGGTTAGAATGAAATAGCAATTGATTTTTTACTATTTCAATTTCATTCCGTGGTGACGAAACTTGTCGACAAAAAACGTCTGTTTCAAATTATATATATACAAAACAGGCGACAATGTTTCGAATATACTGCGTCCGTTGAGCTATGATATTCGAACACAATTACGAGCTGCTTCAGTTTCTAAGACGACTTGTGACGATCAAAACGTGCAAAAACTATTCAATATGGATTTTGGTGATGAAACGTGCATTGATTGCTGCCAAAATTTCATAACTGATGAAGAAAATTGTTTTGTAATGGTGTGCACGAAGCCACATTTGTTGGTGTTTGCTAAATTTTGCAAATATCCACTCTGGCCAGCAAAAGTGATGAAAGTCGAAGAAAACTTGGTGCGTGTAGAATTTTTCGGTGACCATAAAGAAGCAGATATCCCGAGTGAAGATTGTTTTTTATTAACGGCTAAACTACTTAGCAAAACTACAAATAATGAATCATTCAAGGAAGCGCTTGAGGTAATTTTTTTTTTAATTTTATTTTTTTTTACTCTGAATAAAAAAACAATATTTCAACTTTGAAATAGGAGCTTAAAATTCATATTCAGAAGATCAAGGAGAGATTTGGTTCGTTTATTCCTTTCGAATCCAAAATGACAATCAGTGCTGACAATTGGGAAAATCAATTGGAACAGATGATTCCGGGTGCGTTCAACAAAAAACCATCAACAGCGCCGGCAGCAGAAGGTCCCATCAAACGAACAGTCAGTGTCAGTGAATTATTTTATGAAGACATTCAAGAAATAAAGACAAATATTAATGAAATTAAGTCCAAATTGAAACATTTGAAAAAGCAGAAGACCATATCATTGCCGTGTATATGTGTTTTTGCATTCGTGCTTTTGTCAATCATCTTTTTCAACAATATCGCTCATGAATAAAAAACAAACTCAAAAGCTCGATTGGTGTTTTAAAAACTCACGAAGAAAAAGTGCAAAACCTACACTAATACAAACCTTTGATGTTCCATTAAATTAAGTCATCTGTAAGAGTTAAATTTTAAAATATAAAAGAGTTGAATGTTTTAATATAATTCCATATGATTTATTCCAATAGTAAATAAAATGCATGAAAAATGTTCAAGGGAGAGACAGAAAAAAAATAATAAAAGAAATTTATTGTGCTACTAATTTTTTGCGATTTTCTAATTTCTTCTTCTTTTTCTCTTCCTTGGCCGCAGCATCGATGCGTTTTCGTTTCTTTTCGAGTAGCCAGTGTTCCTTTTGTTTATCTTGTTTTTCATTGATGAGCTTCGAGAAGAGTTTGCGATGTCTCGGTTTGACCATGCGTGCCTTCAAGCGATGCTCTTCAATTTCTTGTTTTTTAATCGATCGCTTACTTTCTCTATGCACTTTGCCACTTTGTACAGCCATCTTTTGTTTGGCCTCAATTTGTTTCGAACGTTTTTCGGTGCTTTGTTCACCAAAATCATGATCAGCATCATCCAGATCACTGTCTTCCTTATAAGCAGCATTATCGCCATCGCTTTCGATTTCTTCATCAGAGCCGGCGTCTTCTTTTTCCAAGCGATATGCATTTTCCAGTCGATCATCTCGTTCTGGCTCTGGGATATTCTCTTCGGCCTCTTCCTCTTCGTTTTCTTCATCTGAGCTCGGTTGATGTGTTTCAATGGCCGACGGATCACGCAGTGCCTTTTCTTCTGGCGGAATATACACATCCTCACGGCTTGGGTCAACAAATGGTGACAAATGTGGTGGCAAAGCAGCACCAATAAAGTATTTATTTGTTGGTAACAATGTACGTTGATTTACACAATCGAATACCCATTGTGGTTGAACATAGTCTCTCGACATGTATTGTTTGCCAACTGATGGCCGATCAACAACTTGATGTGTTATAGTTTCGTCTGTTTCATCGAATGTGGCTCCAGTGAATAATGTCTTATCCCATGACACCTTTCCGCCGAGGCATCGAATCAAAAACACTAACGGTTCACGTGGCACTTCTCTGTTTATGAAAATTTTCAAACCGTTGAAAAGTTTACGCAACTTTCTCTCTTCGGCCGCTTTTTCTTTCATTTTTTTGATTTGTTCGGATTCATTTTCACCTTCGAGCAAATCAATATTCAAATCATCATCGACCTCATTGTCATCGGCCGTCGGATCGATTTTCAACAAATCAAAATTAAGCGCAGCAATACGTTCGGACACAAATGTCTGTTCGTTGCCCAATGATTCTTCGGTGTCTTGGAATAAATTCGATGGAAATTGCGGTGGATACACCAAATTCATTTGGTGATACAAACGGAAATTCACAAAACCCAACATTATGGTGTAGAATTCAACGAAAATTGACATCATACGGAAATCAACTTCGGACCGTGATTGTGGCTGGAATGGATAGTAGTGTGGTATCATCCATGTCACCTTTTGTCCTTTAATTTCGGCTTGGAAATAGTAACCTTTGATCGAAATGAAGCAGTAACGAAGCGATTTTGATGCGATTACAGCGTGCAAAAATTCAATGGTCAAACGACGACACAATGCTGATTGCTGTCTTGGCACGTATTTCAACGATGGAAATGTGCTGAACAGGAACAAAAGTGTCAAACAATCATCCAAATCTTTGATGGCATCGATGAATGTTGGATAACGTTCTTTTACGATGTGATCGAGTTTCAATTGTGGCTGCGACTTTAAACGACGATTCAACGCACGGAAATCTTTCAATGCACGGTCACGTCCAGCTTTGCGATTGAAAATCTACAATCGAAATGAATTAAAATGTTAGAGCAATGAAAACACGTTTCCCTTATACGAATCGAAGCAAATTCAATTAAGCGCATTTCCTTACCTTGTAGTCACGAAGTGTCCACACAATCGGTTCGTGCAATAAGAATTTGATGTCTTTTGTGTGATACAAAATTTTGATATCAGTTGAACCACGTTGGGCACGGCGACGATGTTTCGGTTCACGCGGATAAATTCCTTTGACAATGCATAAACGACGAAAATCATTCAACGATAATTGTAATTTCCGTAGAGCCTGTCGTCGGGTAATATAACTAGCACCTTCTCCAGAGGCATACTAGAAATAATCAAAACGGAATTGTTGGACAAAAGTTTTAATTTAAAATAAAGTAAAATGAAACATAACCTCACTCTAATAAAGTGCATACGAATTGAAAATTGTACAGAAATTTAACAAGAATTTATTCAATTGCTTACCTTTTTTAGTCGACGCATCTTTAAGACACTAAAATTATTCACTAGAAAACGTTTAAATTTATAAAAGAGCGGTTGCTCTTTTCAATTGATATTTCTAGCGGACAGCTATTCGACCGTATGTATGTATACTTCGTGTTGTAAACGTGCACAAGAAAACAATCGCACATGTTTCATGTGACAACGGTGTGACAGTTGTCAAACTGGTCCGATTTGATGGAAAAACTGATCCGATTTGAACCGACGAATTTATTGTAAATTTTAAACTGAAAGTGTTTGTAGTAAGTAATGATTTTTCCCAAAAATTGAATATCAATAAAAAAAAAACACTTTTTATGAATTGCTTTTCAGTTTTTTTTATTTCGTAATTTTTGTGTTGGAGTTGTTTCAATTTTTCATTGTAATTTGTAACAAGTATTTGTTTTGACAGATGACCGTGTGATTGATAAATGTCAAAACATTGTTTACACGTGCGTTCATTAAGGCTTTATAAATTGAAAACTTCGCAATAAATGAAAATGAGTGAACCCGGCAAATATGTCCTTCTGCGAAATGTGCAGGCAATGTCGAAGAAGATAAAAAAGCCGAAACAGAAGAAAGACAAACAGTTGAAGAAAAAACTGGAAAAAGTCGTACAGAAAAGGGCTAGCGTTCAAATTCCAAAGCAACGTGAAAAGATACCACAGCAAAATGACGGTGTTAGTAAGCGAAAGAATAAAAATAAACAAAATCAAGAAAGCCTGAAGAAAAAATCACAAGAGGTTACACAAGGCAAGAAACAGAAGTCACGAGCCATTGTCGATTCATCGGAGCAACCCAAGAATTTCCACGATGATTTGGCCGATCGATTGAAAGCATCTCGTTTTCGATTCATCAATGAACAGCTTTACACACAGACTGGCGACGAAGCAATCAATGTATTTAAAGAAGACGATTCTGCCTTCAACACCTATCATGATGGATATCGCGCTCAAGTTAAACAGTGGCCAATTAATCCATTGGATCGCATCATCAATTCAATCAAGAAATTGTGAGTTTTAAAAGAAAATCAATGAATATTTACTAATTTTTTTTCCCGAAAATGGTGTATTTTGCTAGGCCGATAAATTATGTTGTCGCCGATTTTGGTTGCGGTGAAGCTCGATTGGCAGAGTCTGTAACGCAAAAATGCTACAGCTTCGATTTGGTTGCAACAAATAAAAAGGTTATCGCTTGTAATATGGCGCATACGCCACTTTCATCTGAATCCGTGAACGTTGCGGTTTTTTGTCTCTCATTGATGGGCACAAACTTGAAAGACTTTTTGCTTGAAGCCAATCGCGTCTTGAAAATAGGGTAAATTTCCCATTTTAAGTTGGACAAAATTTAGATAACTCATTTTTGTTTCGCTTTTCATTTCAGTGGCCATTTGAAGATCGCAGAAATCGAGTCTCGATTCGATAATGTTAACGCATTCATAAACAGTTTGAAAGCCATTGGTTTCGATTTAATCAGCAAAGATATTTCAACAAAAGTTTTCTATTTTCTTTACTTTAAAAAGTCACGTAGTGTCACTGGGGCTGACTTGAGACAACTGAAGAACTTTTCTCTTAAACCATGTTTGTATAAAAAACGATAAATAAAGACACTCATTTTTAAAATTGGAAATAATGTTCCGTTTTTTTTTTCAAAAGTTATTTGCTACAACATTCAATTTTACATTTACACCGAATTAATGAAATTCTATTTATTTCTGTGATATTGGTTTGATTGTAATTTAACGGGAAATGGTGCACACAGCATATCGTCAAGTGTCTAATAAAAAAAATGTTGAAAATAAATGGTGTTTTTCTATAGTGTACTTGAATCACGTCTTACCTCCTCTGTTATCAGTCCCAGTGATTTGATTTCTTTACGTAATGCAAGAAACTTTTTCAATTCCGGACCATTTTGATCAAGCGATTTTTCAATTTTGTCAAGCTGCAAATAGGTATTTTATGAGAGTTTGTTGTAAATTATTTATGCAAAATTGTAAAACGAAAAAAAACTCACAACTTCTAGTGATGTATATTCATCGTTTCGATTTAATTCTTTGTGACGTTTTATAATTGTTCGAAACATATCTGTGATTTTGCCAAATCGTCCCAATTGACACCATGCCAATAATTTGATTTGACGCACCGTCACATGAAAATCTTTAAAAATACATTCCAAAACTTCCAAAGCGATTTCCGGTCGATTGTGTTTCACAGCCATCCCAGCAACGAATGTTAAACTCTTGCGAAATGGATGTTTAACTTGTATTTCTTCCATTTTCTTCCAATAATCGAAGGCTTTGTCCAGAGCCTCGGGAGTATTCTATCATTCAACAAAAAAACATGGCAACGAATTCAAAAAAATCGAGGTAAAATCAAACGATAATATGCCTACTTACTATACGATAATATGCCGCCAGAACAAGAGCATCAATGTATTTACTCTCAAAGGGTCGACTCTCTCGAACGCGCAAAAGTGTCTCGTACATTTTGTTTTCGTATAATAAATCTAATAGGACTTGATGACCGGTGATTTCGGTAAACAGTTGGCCAATCAATTTGTCATCTAAAAACTACGACCGAAATACATTTGAATTGAAGATGGAAATTGATTTGGTTTTTACCTCGATTGCCACAATAGGAAGATTCAGATAATATAACACACGCATTATAACTGGACCAAAGATATACTTGTAACCAGAGTGTTCTTTCTGCTTTCGTATCAGTGTGTACAATGCGTCTTTTAGTATGTTGATGTCGTTATCATCTTTTTCCATGACGAAAAGTAAACGTTTCAAGCCATTTTCGAACTTTGGAAAATCAGGTTCATTTCCAAAATCAAGGTGAAATTTTCGCTTGTATTTGTATGGATCTGTCACAAAATTTTCAGCATCTCTTCTACCTAAAGTGAGAATCACATAGAAAAAAAATGGAACTTAATCAATAAGTAATGGAAATATAATGAAAATGAAATTGCAAAAGATCTTCGTTACCCTTTTCGTATCCTTCAATTCCTAATTCTCTAGCCGAAAACAAACATCGAAATTGATTTATTTGCGAGATAAATCCTACGCATCAAAGAAAAAGAAAAAAGAACGTCTGAATATTGACAATTTAAAACAAGTTTATACAAAATTTTGTTTACCTTTTGATTGAAGGGTTGATTTTTGAAATGCACACAATGTTTTTCCAAATTTACACAAAGATAACATGTTTTCACCGGTCAACTGCAACGATCTCTATAACAGAATTATACGAGTGAAATAAAAATTATATCAATTTTTGGCCGTTTTTACAGGATTTGTAATTGACTTCTATTCTGAGGGAATCAAATTGATTTAGATAAATTCACACTTGTCAGTCATATTGAGGTTTAGCTTACTCTTTCTTAATTGAGGAGGAATTTCGTTTGATTTGAATCTATTGCATTGTTATACAAAATTTTCAAATCAGGTTATAATAAATTTTGACACTCTATTGTCACTTACGACAATGTATGTATTGTAAACAGAACGTAGAACATGAAGTTGGCTATGTATGGGGCACAATCCCAAGTAGCCATGCCATTGATATGTTTTTATTATGAAAATTATTCAAATTGTAACCCCAATCCTACTCACACTTGAGTGTAAATTCAGTTGATTTTTATGTAATATTTCGCATAGAAAGTTTCCCGACAATCATTTGTAGTTAGATGAAAATTGAATAGAAATATAACTTTCAAATGGAAGAAAATGATTTATAACACTGATACTCTTTTTTAAATTCGGTTTTATTTCATTTGTATAAACAATTATGTTTTGATAAAAAAAAATAGAATGCTACAACTTTATTGTTATTCTGATTTGCCGAGAACCATGGCTAAAAGTGCCATTCGAATGTACATGCCATTTTCGGCTTGACGGAAATAGGCTGCACGGGGATCGTTATCAAACTCTTTCGATATTTCGTCGATTCGAGGTAATGGATGCATCACAATCATACGGCGCTTGGCCATGGTCATGAGATGTGGAGTGACAACAAAATGACCACTGACACGATTATATTCCTCTTCTGTGTCAAAACGTTCCTTCTGTATACGAGTCATGTACAAAACATCCGTCTCAGGCAATGCTTCAGCGAGTGTATTGTAGACCTGATTTTGCAAAAGAAATCAATTGAAAAATGCATGTCAGTAATTTTTTTAACCAAAGGAATTTGCAAAGAAAGAGAAAAATGAATTACCTTTTGTTTGACTCGTTTCATTTCTGGACTGTTTGTAATGTGTTCGGGCATCGATAAGCTGGGCGGACTAACATAGTTCAATTGAACATCATACAGAGTTAATAATTTGGCAAGTGAGTGCACAGTGCGACCATTCTTCAGATCACCAACCATTGTTATAATTAATTTGTTCACCGTTCCGATTTCTTGACGAATCGTAAAGATATCCAACAAAGCCTGTGTTGGATGCTCTCCAATGCCATCACCAGCGTTGATTATTGGTTTTCGGCTATGTTGACTTGCTTGCTGCAAAATGAAAAAAGAAATCGATCGTTATATTTTCCCGATTGTTAAAAAAAGAAAGCTAAAGTACTAACCAAAACGGCACCACGATCTGGATGACGCAAAACAACAACATCCGAATATCCAGCCATAACCGTAATACTGTCAGTGAGAGTTTCTCCCTTCTTAGCCGACGAACTCGATTCATTCATGTAGATAACTTGTCCGCCTAATCGAAGCATAGCGGAGGTAAAGCTGCAATTTGTTCGTGTGCTCACTTCATAAAAGACCGAAGCCATAATTTTGCCCCGTAAAATGTCAAAAGTGTTGCGTTCTTTGGCGACGCGAGTTTTGAAAATTTGTGCCAAATCAAAGATGTCATTCAATTGCTCTTTAGTAAACATATTTGCGCTGAGAATGTGCTTTCCATACAATCCATGTTGAATTGATGTATTTTGAGCCGTTGTTGTTTGTACTAATTCTTTCAATGTTGTATTACTGGCCGAATCCAAACGCACTCTTGGCAACGGTGATGGTTGTCGAATAATACGATCGCTAGATGCAAAATGTACATTTGGCTTAGCAACGGGTTCGGCCAGTAATTTTGCAAAGAAATCATTTGTTTGCACGTCGTTCATTAGTTCCGAGCTCTTTGAATCTTTAAGACTTGTTTCAAACAAATCACTGCCGGCCGACAGATTTTCAATCTTCTCCAAAACGTGTTTGTAATCCGTTTTCGAAACGGTATTCCATTCACGAACATTTTCACCATAGCCCGGTTCAATCAATACCTCTCCGTCGACAAATGCAACTTCGCCGCGCAAAATAACACGGTGAACTGAACCTTTGATTTGCATACCAGCGAATGGTGTCCAATGCGCTTTTGAATGCGCTGGTCTCTCGGGAATGGTCCATTCTTCGTCTAAATCGACTTCGACATATGTGTTTGGTTGTTCTGGTAGATTGAAAATCTTACGCGGATTACGATGGAATTTATTGATGACATCGTCAAGTGTAAGTCTTCCTTCGTTGACGGCATTCAATAACAATGGCAAAATGGTCTCCAAACCTGGAAAGCCTGGTGGTGGTTTTGTTGAATCTTTTTCATCAATGGTATGTGGTGCATGGTCGGTTGCGAATACATCGATGTATTCCAAATTTTCCCATAAGGCTTCTTGATCTTCTTTCGAACACAAAACGGGCCGCACCTCGGATCGACCAGAACCGATTTGTGGAATGTCATCGGTTGACAAAAACAAATGGTGCGGACACACCTCACAGGTGATTTTCATTCCGCGTTTCTTTGCCGACCGAATGATTTCCATTTCTTCTTTGCGTGCAACATGCGCAATATGAATGGCACGATCCAAAACACTTGCCAAAAATATAACGGCAGCAGTTGATTGTCGTTCGGCGTGCACAACAAGTGGAGCACCTTTTGGCCAATTTTTCAAGTGTTTCTTCCACACAAGCATATCGTTCAATTGAAGTGTCGAAAATGTTTGATTGAGGTACATTTTAAGCGCAGCAGCTTCACCAGCCAGTTCATGAATCACATCATAGTTTTCACTCGATGCACCCACATAAATACCATAATCACAGCGTGCCTTCATTTTTGCAATGTCTTTTACCAATTCGAATGCGTCCTTGTCCGTAATTGTCGGATTTGTATTTGGCATCGCAAGTACCATCGTCACACCGCCGGCTAGTGCAGCTGCCGTTCCCGATGAGAAATCTTGAATAATAATAATAATTAGGATTTTTAAATAGTTTGTAAATGCCATGTATTGTAATTACCTTCTTTGTGGGTCGCACCTGGATCACGCAAGTGCACGTGCACATCAATGAAGCCAGGCAATTTTTTAATATTACGTGATGTCATGCAATCGGTATGGGTTTTCATCACAGGTGCTCCTCCGATCATTCGCATGGCTTCAACCAATAATTTGGTACATTTTACATCGGTAACCAATGGTATCGTTAAGTCGACGGCTAATCTTCGGGTACGATAACCATGGGTTATAAACGATGATACACGACGAGCTCCACCATTTCGCATCGGCAAATTGATTACCAAATCAATGCTTTTCTCTGCTAAAAATTCAGCCAAATATTGTAATTCACCAGTATCGCTGGCTTGTTCGAGTTTTTCGAATGTCCAATGAACCGATTCGATCTAGTTTTTTGAGTGAAGGAGAAAGAGCAAAAATGTTGACAAATTGCATAGAACAATAATAGTCTTTCAGTATATAAAACAATAATGAGGCCATGTAAAATGAAAAATGAAGAAAGTGTAAAATGAAAAATTTCCATGTAAAATGAAAAAAGTTTAAACAAATTTTGCTCAAAAAACGTTAACTAGAGAAAAAAACTAGGAATTTCATCAATGCAAAAGATACATTGTAATACGTTTTAAAATATAATTCAAATAACTCACATCAACTCCATGTTCCGCATAGAAATCTCCAGTGCCCATCGATGCGTATAATTTGTAGCCCATTTTTGACAGAGCACGAATGGATGGCAACAGCTCCAATTTGTGCTATTATAATAAAATATAAAAAATACAATTGTGTTCTATGTCGATATCATTCATGAATACATAATCGTATTTATTCGTTACCTTGAAACTTCCAATACTTAGAAGAATGGCGCCTTTTGGTATTTGGAAACTGGTTGAGAGCATTGCTTTTAGATATGCCTCGTAGCGATTATCGCCAAAACACGCAACCTCTCCAGTTGATGCCATTTCAACGCCTAACGTGACATCAGCACCAGCCAAACGCGAGAAACTGAATTGTGGTACTTTTACACCGACCTAAACGTTGAAGAAGTTATTTGTTACACATTCTTTTAAACATCACTTGTTTTTTTGCTATAAAAAAATGTTCAAAACCGTACCTTTCCGCATCCTTTGAGCACATTGACTGGTTCAACATCAAGACCGATAATAACTCGTGTGGCCAATGCTACAAAATCAAAACCAAGCGCTTTTGAAACGAATGGGAATGAACGTGACACACGAACATTGCATTCAATGACTTTGAGTTCATTATTTTTGGCAATGAGTTGCATATTAAATGGACCAGACACATCCAACAAAGCAGCAATGTCACGTGCAATAATCTTGATACGTTCGAGTGTTTCGCTATTAATATCTTGTGGCGGTGTCACCAAAGTAGCATCACCCGAATGAACGCCAGCATTTTCCACATGCTCGGAAACAGCCATGCATAAAATTTCGCCATCACAAGCCACAGCATCAACATCAATTTCTTTGGCTTCAGTCAAGAATTTTGAAATGACCACCGGATGTTCTTTGCTTACATCGGACGCTGATTTTAAATACTCTTCCAAATCTTGATCGTTGTGTGCCACATTCATTGCAGCACCTGTGAATTGAAAAAAAAAATTCGATTAAATTCATTCAAAATTCAAAGCAAAGAAGCTTCTCATACTAACCAGATAGTACATAAGATGGTCGAACCAAACACGGATAGCCGACTTCATTGCTAAAAGCTATAGCTGAACTTAAATCGGTCAATTCTTTCCATCGTGGTTGCAAAATGCCTTTTCGATCCAACATGCGTGAAAATTTAAATCGATTCTCAGCGCCGTCAACATTTTCAGGTGATGTGCCCAAAATTCGCGCTTGTTGTCGATGCAAATCCATGCAAATATTGTTTGGCAACTGACCGCCCATCGATAAAATGATACCTTCAGGATCTTCGTACTCGTAAATATCCATCACAACTTCGAATGAAATCTCCTCGAAATACAGACGATCACACATGTCATAATCCGTGGAAACGGTCTCTGGATTGTAATTCACCATAATTGTTTTGCGTCCGAGTTGTTTGAGTTCACGTAGACAGCCGACAGCACACCAATCGAATTCCACTGAACTTCCGATTCGATACACACCCGATCCAATGACCATTGTGTAATTGGTGCTTGGCGTTTCAATGTCATTTTCATTGCCATTGTATGTCAAATACAAGTAATTTGTTGATGCTGGCCATTCACCAGCCACCGTATCGATTTGCTTAATTGATGGCAATGCACCGATTTCTTTTCGATGTTTTCTCACAGCCAATTCGGTGCTGCCAACAAATTGTCCAATTTGTTTGTCGGAAAATCCAAGTTTTTTCGATTGAATCAACATCTCATCGGAGAGAATGCCTAATTTCTCCAGGCTCGTAGTATGTTCGATAATATTTTGGAATTTATTCAAAAACCATGGATCGATTTTGGTTAATTCGTATAGCTTCTCAACGGAATAGCCGGATTTTAGTGCTGCGGCTAAAACATACATTCGCTTGTCGGTCGGTTGTTTCAATTCAGTGTCATTCACTTCTTTCAGATACGGATCAAAACCATTTACATTTTCATCAACCATTCGCAATGCCTTTTGGAATGCTTCTTCAAATTTACGACCAATTGCTATGGAATTCAAATAAATTGAAATATTTTCGATTAAATTGTTGTTGCTTTTCATTCGAAAAATAAAATTTGCTTACCCATTACTTCTCCAACACTTTTCATTGAGCTACCAATATTTTTACTGACGCGCATAAATTTCGCCAAATCCCATCGTGGCACTTTCACAACACAGTAATCCAAACTGGGCTCAAAACAAGCTGTGGTCACTCCGGTGACGGTGTTTTTGATTTCAGGCAATGGAATATTCAGTGCCAACTTAGCAGCAACATAAGCCAATGGGTATCCGGTTGCTTTGCTGGCAAGTGCCGAACTTCGTGACAAACGTGCATTCACTTCAATGATATAAAATTCTTCTGAATCGGGACTGAGGGCATACTGAATGTTACATTCACCGACAATGCCAAAGTGTCGAATGACTTTCAAAGCGGTTGCACGCAACATATAATATTCACGATTGCTGAGCGTTTGTGATGGAGCCACAACGATCGATTCACCTGTATGAATCCCGAGCGGATCGACGTTTTCCATATTACACACTGTGATGCAATTATTGTACGCATCACGAACGACTTCATATTCAACTTCTTTCCATCCTTTGAGTGATTTGTCAATAATCAATTGTTTCGAATGTGCTAAACCTTGTTCGGCCAATTTAACAAGTTCATCTTTGTTGTTTGCAAAACCGCTGCCCAAACCGCCCAAAGCAAATGCAGCCCGAATCATCACAGGATATCCCAAATTCTCAGCAACTGTCAAAGCACCTTCAACTGAATAAACGCATGCCGATGGTGCCACTTTTTCTCCAATCGAATTGACGCGCTTCGCAAATATTTCACGATCTTCGGTTTCGATAATTGATTCGATTGGTGTTCCCAGAATTTTCACACCATATTTATCAAATACACCATTTCGCACCAATTCAACACCGCAATTCAACGCTGTTTGTCCCCCAAATGTGAGTAAGACACCTTGTGGTCGTTCAACTTTAATCACTTGCTCGACGTATTCGGCGGTGATTGGTAAAAAGTAAACTTTATCGGCCATTCCGCGAGATGTTTGGACGGTGGCAATGTTTGGATTTATTAAAATCGTTTGAATGTGCTCTTCTTTTAATGCTTTAATCGCTTGTGAACCAGAATAATCGAATTCACCGGCCTGACCAATTGAAAGACCACCCGATCCCAAAATGAGCACTTTACGTGGCCTCGTAATTTCAACATTTTTTCCCGGTTTATACTCCAACTCATCGATAATACGTTGTTTCACATTAAAAGCGGTGTTGCTATTGTTTTTCACCGCATCCAAAAATACATCAAACAAACATTCAAGATCATCCGGACCAGCTGTATGTTCTGGATGGAACTGAACAGAAAAGTATGGTTTCGTGGTGTGCACGATACCTTCATTGCTACCATCGTTACTGTTCTCAAATAAAAGTTCCCATTGTTCTGGAATTGTTTTTGAATCAACCGCATAACCATGATTCTGTGATGTCATGTAGCAATTGCCGGTTCCTTTGTGAACGCAAGGCAAATTATGACCACGATTACCATAGAGCATTTTATAGGTTTTGCATCCGATGGCTGTCGAAAGCAATTGATGACCCAAACAAATACCGAAAATTGGCTTATTCACACCCGACTCAATCACATTTCGAATGTTGGCAACAGTCTTTTCACACACAACTGGATCACCTGGACCGTTACTCAAGAAAAGGCCATCATATTCTTTCGCGTCCAGTTTGTGATTCCAAGGTACGACGTCGACACGTGCACCTCGTTTCAGGAAACAACGGATTTGATTCAATTTTAAACCACAATCAACAGCACAAATACGTGGACTGCCACTTGGATTATACGTTTTGACAGCTTTCACAGACACCTCATCCACAAAATTACGTTTACTTTGATCGATGAATTGAGCATTTTTACGCGATGATCCATTTTGAACGATTCGACCTGCGATGCGAATAAATCAAATATCGTTTATTTGCACATTCACGTCATGTTTTTCAATCTAATGAAAAATCCGTCAAAAATAACTTACCCATAATGGTGCCCTTTTCACGAATCTTTTTTGTCAATGCGCGCGTATCAACGCCGCTAATTCCCGGAATATTATGCTTCTTCATCCAATCGGACAACGATTGTTTGGCACGCCAATGTGACGGCTGATCACACAATTCATCAACAACAAGACCAGCAACCCAAATTTTATTCAACGATTCAAAGAATTTTGGCAAATTATATTCATCTTTTTCATCGCCTGGAATGCCATAATTTCCAATCATCGGATAGGTTAGCACCAAAATTTGACCATGGTACGATGGATCGGTCATCGATTCAGGATAACCCACCATTCCGGTTTGAAAAACAACCTCGCCATCCACATCAATTGGAGCACCAAAACTCTTTCCCTTCACCGAAGGGAAATCTTCGAACACTAATTCGGCATCCATGTCTCTTGAAATATTTTTTTTTACTCTTATTGCTTCAAACAAATAATCTGGAAAGTGAAAAAAAAGAAGAAAACGAAATGAGAAATAGCAGCAGACACATGTGATTTGATGATACACGCGAAATTGTGTGATTAAGCAATCAAAAATCTTTGACTAAAAATACACACAATTGATAAAAATACGACAGCAGACCGTCTGATAAAAATGTTTCTGTGTCGATTGATTAATAGAAAGAAGTGTGACAAAAAAATCATCTTCCTTGTAATGCTCTAATCTTACTCTTGAGGTTGATGCTTCATTATCATTTTAAATTTAAAGAAAATTGCGTGAATTCCTAATCGAAAATGTGGAAGACTGTCTTCATTTCAGATTAAACATTTGAATTTATATAAAAAAAACAACAACCAAGCCTTTTTAAATTCACATACAATCACTCCATTCAAATTATCACGATTCGCTGTGTTATTATGCGTAATACGCAATTGATGGCAAAAAAATGTTGAATTTAACACATTTCATTACACAGACAGTCTCTTTAAGTGTAACCGGTTTTCTTATCAGCTGAATGACACAAACTAAACGTGGTAACCATAATTCAAATATTAATTTCGACCAACGGAATGGTTGCTAGTGGAACAGCTCTAATTATTCACGACGATAGCACATATGCCAATTTCGATTGAATTTTGCTCTTCATCACATTTGTAATGTATTGTGTCACACGTGAGACAAACCGACAAACAAACGTACAGTAAACAAGACGCGTATCCGAACGACGCGATATGTATGTTAGTATTACAATCATACACAATATCTATAATGTTGCTATAGATATGTGTGTACGTACGTATGGCTTTGCCTTGTATCAGTGTGATAGAAACTAATGCGTATTTAACAGAAGAGACTGTCCAACCACCTGTTTATGAACGATTTCCAAAATAAATGGCGAAATTCAATTAAAAACACACAACTTTCGACTATTTTAAATGAATTTCATTTATTTTAAAGAGCTCTTAGCAAATAGTACGCGAAAAAACTAACAACCACGTTGAGCGCGCTTAAAAGACCGAAGTGCATTGCCCTGAATTTTATCGGTAGCCGGTATAAATATGGAAAAATCACTTACGATATTGTTTGTTATTGTTTATTGTTCGTTGTTTTCACAATTAAACTTTGAAAATAGAAATAATTAATTGAAAATTTCTTTGTTTCCTGTGGACCACGTGGTTTTCAGTCGTTCCTTGAACAAACGTATTTATCAGGTCAGTCGTCAATGAACAACTGAAAAGAGTTTCATGAAGTTTCTACCATATATAGCCTTAAAATCATTCGATGTGTACCATGCTGTGTATTTATACAAATACATGGGTAAGCACGAGCGCTCTTGTCAGTTGGTTGTGCGTGTATGCAAAACAAAACATAGATGTGTACGCTGCCGGTATGTAGCAAAAAAAACTGGTTCTATAGATGTGTGCACAATTCATGAATCACTGTGAGGACGCAAGGCGTATAAAATCAAGTATGTAATAATATTGAGTCTTGTGTGTATATAAATTTTCGGCACAGTTTTTTTTTTATCACCATCACAAACGCAATACGACCGACGGATCTTTTTATTTTTTGCTTACCGATTCGATTCCCTTTAAACACATCGATGTGGGTCTAGTCGTTGCTGTAATTAAAAACTATTGTTGAATTTGCACATTTGTATGAATATTGCACCGATGGCATGTCTCATGGAGCGTGAGAACATTGGCTTCTGTTATCAGTTCTTTATAATTTGGTTTGTTGTAAACAAAATGATGTATAGCCAAACATTTGTGCGGCGTCAACTTATTCTGTACTGAAAATTTACTTCTTTTTTTTTTTCAAATAAAAAAGGTAGACTTTATTTTTTTCCAATGTTTGTATTTTTTTTTTAAATAAAATCGTTGTGTTTATTTCATTTCGAAATAAAAAATCTTCTCCTAATAGAATAATCAAAAGTTAGTATATGTCTAACCGAATATAATTAGTCCTATATTTATATATATATCCCCCACTCCAGAGCTGTTATTGAAAACGTGTTGATGTGTCAGCATTGGTTTGAATAATTATTTGAAAGAAGTGTCCGATGCTCTAAATTTATATCTTTATGCGTCCTTATTAGAGTGTGTTTTAACATGTTTGCTGCGATCGCTTGAACATGAAAATGCTTTACCACAAAATGTGCAGAGAAACGGTTTTTCGCCATTATGATTTCTCATATGAATACGATAGCTATTTGAAAATGTGAAGGTTTTTTGGCAAATTTCACATTGATAGGGCTTCTCGCCGGTATGAATTCGTGTATGCTTTTTACAATCACTCTGTGTGATAAAACTTTTTTCACAATATTCACATTTGTACGGTTTTACACCGCTGTGGATGCGCATATGATTCGCCAGCAACCGTTTATCGCGGAATAGCTTATTGCATACAACACAAACTTGTGGAGGTTGTTCTTCGGGCTCGATACATTCGTCATGTTGGTGTTGCATTTTGTTGTGTCGTTTTAGCTGTGACGACGACGTGAATCGCATTCCACAGAATTCATAACTGCATAGATAGGGCCGTTCGCCCGTGTGTAGACGCAAATGTGCAACCAATTGATGATTATAAAAGAAAGCTTTTGAACACTCGGGACAATTGAACTTTGGCTCTTCGGTGTGACTTTTTTCATGCGTTCGAAGATGTGTTTGATGGGTGAATTGACGTGTACAATGGCTGCACTTAAACTTAATGCTATTGTGTACTTTACTATGTGATATACATTGTGACTTTCGTCGAAATGTTCGTTGACAGGTTGGACATGAAAAGGGTTTTTCGCCGCTATGGACACGTTTATGAAGCGTTAAATTGATTTGTTGCACGAATGATCGGTCGCAACCGGTTTCATCGCACTTGAACGGTTTATCATTCATATGAACCCGCATGTGTGCTTGATAATTGCTGGTCTGTGCGAATGCCTTGCCACAAAAACATTTGAATGGTCTTTCACCGCTGTGGGTGCGCATATGCTTCTTATAATTTCCCGAATGATTGAATAATTTACCGCATTGCGCGCATTGAAACGATTTCTCATCGGAATGTACCTAGGGTTATTTGAAATTAATGAATTAATAGTTCAATTTTCTCAAACAAAAAAAGATCTATTTAATTTACCAATTTTTGATGTGATTTCAAATGTTGCGCTAAAACAAATGTTCTGCCACAGTTTGGTTCGTCGCAGGTAAATGGACGTTCGCCCGTATGAAGAGTCATGTGCTTTCGCAAATTGCCTGAATGGTGAAAGACTTTGCAGCATACCTCACACTTTCGTTCAAAACTTGGCTTTCGAACAACACCATCGACCACTTCCCCTTTATGCACATTGTTAATGTGTTGTTTACCTTTAAAAAAGAATATGTTATGTTAATTATATTTCAATTGAATCATTCATTAATGTTGCTTACAGTGGTCGGAGCGCGCAAAAGATTTCGAACACAGGGGACAATTGTGACCTTTATCAGTCATATGCGTTCGAATGTGTAACTTTAGTAATGATGCATACGGATAAGATCTATCACAAATATGGCATTTATGCTCTTCCTGCGATTTTGGTCGACCTTTCTTTTTTGCACCCGATTTCGATTCAATCGCCTTTTTCACCTTCGATCTCAATGGTTTTTTATCTTTTGTTTCTAATGTCTTTTTCACTTTTTGTCCGTTCGACTTCGTTGCGTTGTCTTTTCTTACATTTTTTACTCTTCTATCTTTTGTTTCGTGGTTTTTTTCGTTTGCTTCGTCCGTTTGCTTCAAATTTTGAATTTCATCATTGCTTTTGTTGATAATTTTCGTTTTCCATTTTGTTTTCGATGGTTCGGTCGTTGGTTGTACATCACATTCGCTTAGCATTGTAATTGGTGTCAACGATAGTATTGGTTCATCTTCGAATTCGCTGAAAAAATCGTTTTCGCGATTGAAGTCATCATCATCGTAATCATCATGATCAATTTCATCAACGACATAATTATTTTCAACGTGTACAAGATGGGTGGGTTTAGATTCTTTTACGTCTTTGTCATCATCAGTTAGGCGAACTACAGTCACTTCATTTACATCAAAATCTTCGTAATGTGGCTCAATGAATTCCTCTTTGATTTCAATTTGGCAACCGCTCTCGGCAAAGGGATCCTGAGCAATCTCCGCACCACCATTATTACCACAAATTACAAACTCTGGTTCCTGTTTGATCACTTTTTCTTTAGTGGTGTCCATCGTTTGAGCTGAAAAATGTCAATGTGTTGATTGTCAATAAACGAAAACATACGAATACAATGGCTTGAGAATGTTGTTTGATAAATTTCTTACTTTATTTATTTGGATTTTTGGAAAATACCCCGAACTACAGAGTACATCACAGATAGTAAAACAAAACACAATTTGACAATCAAACGATGAAACGTCAGAATTATAATAGGTGTCATTATATTCACCAACTCGAGTGAAGTTGGTTCTCTCTGTTGCTTTGTTTATTTGAAAACTATCTACTTTGGTAGAAAAAAACAAAATCAGATGATTCATTCAACAAAACACCGGTGAATTAATCAAGAATTAATATATTTTTTGCTACAATTTCGGAATAAAGACATGTACGTGGATTTGATTAAGCTGCAACATGGTATTTTATCCACTTTTCATTTTCTAGCGTGTATTTTATACGATCGGCTATCTCATCCCGTCGTGCGAAGTAAAAGTCCATTTTTGTTGGTGTAATTCGCATTGCGGTGCTGCATAGTGAACATAAAATATTAATAAAATTGAATGAATGTATAATTCTCATAAATAATAAATGGCTTAACTTACTATGTATCTGTCTGCGGTAATGTATCATTTCCACTTAGAAAATCCTGCAAGACTTGATCATGTTTTGCCTTTAATTCGTTCCAATCGACTTTCTCACCGCATCGGCAGATTTTACTTCGTATTTTAGCAAATACCGATTCTTCCGAATAAAATTCGGCGATTTCTGATTCACGCAATTCACTCACCGTTCCAGTTACACGAACCTGATGTAATTCAAGCATTTTATGAACAGAACAACAAATGTTGAACAAAAAAAAAACAAATGCCGAAAGTGGACAAACAAAACCAATCCTTATCAAATTGTGTACACAAACATTTTCAAGTGTGAAATGTTTTTCATACCTGCCGAGAGACAACGGTGCCTTCAATCATATAAATCCATAAAAATACCGCTGCAACGGCCGGATTTTTTACCTGTAACAATAATAAAATGGATATTTCTACGAAAATATTGAATTTTTACATAATATTTGAATGGTGCATACAAAGTCCTTGTATTTTTTGGTGTTTCGTTCCGTTACAAAGATCAATCCATTATCGTCGTGTTTTCGAAGAATCACATTTCGATTCAACAATACATCGACGCTGAAAAAAAAAACCAAAATCAAAGTCGAAACAAAAAAACTGAACTTTATACCGAAAAAAATGTCGTTTGCAACATTTTTTTTGAAAAAAAAAAATGAAAAACCAAATTATGTGACTTACTCATCCATTCCGGCGATTGTCATAGTGTCTATAAATAGATTCGGGTCACTGTTTGTTTTCGCTTCATTGTGCCATGTTTGAAAAAGCTGCATGGGATTTTCCGGTGGATTTGCTATGAAGGACAAACCTGACGTTTCCATATTTACTCGTTGTGGACATAAGAACAACAGAACAAGCCAGTCGATGTATTATTTTCTTATCGGTCTTTGTGTCCGTCTATCGCATATTTTTTCAATGATATAGAAATCACAGATATAGATTAGTGAATTTGATGAACTTATGCCTTGTTTATTTTAAGACGCGACAACGGGCGTCGGAAAGCGCCAGTTAATAAATTAAATGGATGGATTAAAATTATTTTTTGTTTGGTAAACTTGTGTAAAAACATAAAATGTTTAGTCGGTGCGAAGCCTTATTTACATCCTCCACACAGTGCAACACCCCCCAGAATTATGTAAATGAATACAAAAAAGCAAGCGCAAAAAAGGTTCATGCTGGTCTTTTTTTATTTCAATACAAAGGAACGAAAGAAATGGAAACGAAATTGGCAAAGACACACCTGAGCAAAGCAAAAGAGAAAAAGAGAACGAGAAAATGTTAGATGTTAGCGAAAAAGCAAGCAAAAAGAAGAACGATAAAAATCTTATGTGCCAACGGCAAGGCGAATTCAATGCGAATCTATTTTTGGTAGTTTCGTTAGAATTATACAATAACATCGACAATGGCATATCACTTAGACATATAGACAATCTAAAAATTATAATAAATTACAATGAATCGCGTGATAATCCTTCAAACTTTGGCAATTAAAAGCAGTTGTTAGTTAAAACCAACTTACCCTTTCTGACACACGCACTGAACGCCGATTCATTTTGTACATGCATGCATGTACAATTGTACAACCGCTTGCACACATATGTCATAAAATGAAACTCACACACACACACATGCACACCAATACACACAAACACCGAAACGAAGCCGATGTGTAAGCCAATACAGAAAAGAATGTCAGCACAGAAGCGAATAGCCATAAATACATACACGTAATAAAAAAATCCAAACACACCACATACCAATACAAAAAGGCAATGTGCGCGTAATTTTTATTGTTGTCGTGTATATATATGGTTTTCAAGACTTTGGGCTTCAACGCTAGAACGGCGCTCGAATAACGTTTAGTCGTACGTGCAACTAGTTAACATTCGGCACGGACAGAATAATGTAGTGAATGAAGCATATTTTGTGTGTTGCTGCTGTTGCCTGATGCTTCTTCAATCTTCGATATATTTGTGTTGCGCACATTCCTGAATGGACCCGAATTTATTTTGTTTGCTGTACATATGGTGTAAATCAAGTGTTGTTCACGAATCATTGTTATTTAAAAGTCGTAAATATTTTTAGGATATAGAGTGTGTGATCAAATCAAATTCAGCAGAAGTAAAAAATAAAACACACAAAAAAATTCTCGTGGCCAAATGAAAATAATATTAAATCATTCTGAAGTGAAAAATCTGTGAATTACTAAAACGTGCCTCTCTGTGTACAATGTATATGTACCAAGTGACAAATTCCAAATGCAAAGAAATAAAGAATAGTGAAATGTGGCAGTATCCAAAATTGTTATTTATTACAACAACTAGCACCCGTAGTCAATTAATTTCGATGTAATAAAGAAAACCGACCGCCGAAACGGGGAAGTAATTTCATCAACTGATGGTGGTGGTGTGATCAAATAAAACAGAGCCATTTTCAAACATTGAATTAAAAATGTAACAAAACAAAGTTTCAAATTTAAAGGCCAAAATGTGTTATGTCGCGCGTAAACGCGAATGTAATTGTGGAATTTGATCGTTTGTGAATTATTTTGACGATGAATTGAAAAAAAAAGATAACAACAACAACCGACGGAATTTAAAAAAAACGCAAAATTCAAAATACATAACAATTATTCATGACAAGGAATTCACATGTATATATCGACGAGAAAACCCATCTAAAGTCTAAATGTGTAAAATTCAGCGGTAAACGCCTAAGTCACACATAACATTTTGTTTCTTTCGTGTTTTTTTTTTGGTAAGTTGAATGCTATCTGTTGTTTCTGGTTTTGTATAGACAATTAAGTATATAAAAGCTCACACGGCAAAAACGAAAAAAAAAACAAAAGAGAAAAACCATAAGCAATAACCAATGTGTGTACATATATGAATGTAGAAGTAGAAAAAAAATGTGCAGTCTGCTTCTTCTTATTCATTTGCTTGTTCGTTAAACGAAAGTCATTCATCAGTTTTTTTCGGAGCATGCCATAGTACATTGTACAACAGCCGTCGACGTAGTCGTCGCCTTCGATGTGTATTTGAATTTTTGTAGCCGTTTTATAAGTGGCGATGAAAGACCGCATCTGCATGTGTGTGAACAGCAATTGCTATAGTTACGTCGTCTCCTATCTTTGTTTACATGCGTACTACGGATATCTATCTGTCTCTCCTGTTTGCCATACATGGGTGTATGTGTGTACGTTTGGAGTATGTATGTGTATTGTTGTTTTTTTTTTGTTTTTCCGTTTTCATCTTCGTCGCTCACTAGAAAAATGCATTCAGGGATCTCGGCAAGTAATAAATCTACCTTGTGCAATATGTACGAGAGTATGTATGCATTCTGGTTTTTAGTCGAAATATATAAGCACACCGAAACGAAATTCTTCGTTGATTGTTTTTTTTGTTCTCTCGATGATTTTTGTACGTGCCTTTTCCGGATTTTTGAGCTCGCTTATGGTGATTTTCTCTTCTTCATCACTCTTTTCGCTCGGTGTCGGTCTTGCTCTTGTTCAATTTCTCGTTGATATGTTTTGTTATTTCGGTCGCGCATCATAAATTAATATATATGCTGTCGGAACTAGAGTAAATGGATGTTATAGCTCAATGGTTCTGTCAATATTTAGAAAAAACAACATGCTTTTTCGATCGGAAACAAAAGACGACATTTTTTTTAATTTTACCTAATGAATTCGGATAGAAAACGGGGTGCTGACAAAACGTCGTTTTAAAATGAGGCCTTTTCAAATGAATACCAAATATGAAGCGATTGCAATAATGCGAATCGGTGCATTCATGGTTTTTTTCTATTAATCCAAAGTATATTTCATTTCTGAAGTGCTTATGATATTGGTATGATATAATAGCAGCATGCAAACTCATATGCTCACAACAGATTGACGGATGAAAGGCCTCGAGTTTACAAAAAAGGGAGAACGCTTTTTATTTCTTTCATCGCCGTTTTATTGTATCAATGCAACAACATCAAAATCTGAAATGATCCAATACAATTTCTCATTCTTCCATTGAATCGCAAGTTTTTTTTTTCTTCAATTAAATCAACGCATCTGTTATACTCAAAGGCAAAGAATGTACTTTATATGGTCGTCATCGTTGTTATTGCATATGCCGTGATAGTATTTCTCGCGAAAAATTCAATTGAAACAAGAGAAAGAGTGATGGAGAGAGAGAGAGTGGGGGAGAGAGAAAAGAAAGAAGAAGAATAATAATATCAGCGAAGAAAAGACACAATCAATTCATGTTTCAATAAATTCTCGTTTGTACGCTCGCGCTCGATCAATTCGTATATGGGCATACACGAGATGTGTTGTTGGTTTTTTTTTGTTGTGTTTTCGTGCATCACATCGGCATTTGAGAATTGGCTACGGTATTATCCAATCTAGCAAGTGAACAATTTTAGTATAGATGTTGTATTCTTTGCATTGAATTATTGCGCACGATGAAGATATGCGAATAGAGTATGTTCACCAGCGCAAACGAAGAAATATCGCATTCGTCGAATCGATCGAGTAGAAACGACAGGTACATGCGAAAATAAAATCCGGCAAATTCACATTTTTATGTTATGCTGGAGCCTGAAGAACGCCATGGTAAAGCAAAGAAAAACGCAAATTTTTTAGCAAGAACCCAATGAAATCAAATACATCATTGGGAAAAATGTAAGGTAATACTAATATTCAGTTTGAGTTGATTAAGGAATAGTGAGTTGTGTGTGTGTGCGTGTGTGTTGAGCGTGCGAGTTTCTTTTGCGGTCGATTCATTCTCGCATGCATGCAATATGTGCTCGCGATTTTTAACGACGATTGTACAATGCCCGTAAAGTGAGTGCAATGCGTAGATTTCCAGATATGTATTTCTTTCTTTTTGTTGTCGGTTTTTTTTTTCGCCATTCTGTTTTGTTTTCGGTGAACACGAAGTGAAGCAGCAAAAACGTAAAAGAGCAATAACATTTTGTCGTCACTGTGTGATCGGCATTCGATGGACGAACGATGAACAGCAATATAACCCCAGTCACTTAATATAAGAAAATACAAAAAAAAGTGAGAGAGAAACATATTCAGTTCGGACTATGTTCAGTTGCCCGCGTACAACGCATTCACTAAGTACATACTACAGAGTTGTCCAATTTCACGTTTTCTCGCCAAAGTGAACACAAAAATAATACGAAAAAGATACAAATTTTTTTTTTGTTGTTATACTCTCGGGGAAGAAGAGCATTAAATGACAACGAGAACACACAAATAAGTATGTTTTTTTTCGTCTTCGTAAAATGGGGCGGATATAAGTACCAGTACCAAAAATAACAATCAATTTTTCGTCTCGTCTTTCTCTCTTTGATCCTGTATGTATCGTGTATCACATGATACAACATCGTCGTCTTCGTTGTCGTCGTCATCGAATGCAGTCGACAAATGCAACAGCGATAAGTACCAATAAAGCAGTCGCTTGAACTATAAAAATTCGTCGTCGCAACGATAAAAACTCATTCAGTTTCTCCAGCAATTGAAAGAGCCCCGCAATGGGAAAACGTATCGAATTGATAAAAATGTTTAGTCTGGCCGCCGCGTTCGCGCTTACTCACTCCCATTCCATGGTATTTATCCCATTCAAAGAGACAGTTTTGCCTGTATATTCCGTGAACCATCGACGAATTTTTTCGGTTTTTATGTGTTGCATTCGTTTCCTTTTCGTCTGAGTGTCATTTCGAATTTATCGCTTAATTTAATCATTTAGTTGTGAACAATTTTCTTTCCCGTTGCATGTTAACAACAGTGTATATTACTTATTGAACTCAATTTGGAACGTTCATTTCAGTTTGCTTCGTTATTCAATTGAGTCGATGCCCGTTCAATAATTCGGCTTGAACTCAATTATTACAATTGAATTCGTGTGAATCGTGCCTTCATTTTTTTGTCCACATTTCTATCAATAATCAAAAGCAATTTGTTATCGTCTCATTTATATTTGAACTGATACGATCGACCATTAAATCGACATGAAAATCGCTGCTCAATCGAAGGCGTACACGAAACCAACAAAAAAACCAAACAGCACTCGACCGGTCTAACGTTACTTTATTCCACGCAATGAAGATCGTTTATTTACAAAATTAAACTTCTTATTGAACCGTAGACTCAATAAATGATCAACAATAACAACAACAAAAAACAGTACTTCCGCTACTAATTAGCTCATAGTGTTATTACATATTGGGAGCATATGAAAACTTATCGGTTAAATACTGTTCTTTTTTTTTTCAATCTTTCACATCGATTGAATATTGTTTATAACAAGTGAAAAAGTAAACTATTTGTCAGTGAGTAGTCAAGTTCCAGTGATTTTACTTTCATATATATGTTTGTTTGGTGTGGCAAATTGAAGTGAAAGAGAGAAAAATAGGGATAGATAGAGACAATCTTTCAATACTAGTTATTGTTTATTTAAAATGTGTATATGCGATGACTGTAACCAATTCAATGTAAAGAATATAACAAGCGAGCGAGTGTGGGGAGAAGAGACACAAAAAAATAATCATGCATAAACATGCATATGTTTCTACATATTAAATGTCTGGAAAGAGCTTATGTTTTGTTTGTTTGTTTTTTTTTTCTGTCTTTTAAGTAAATATAAACGGCGACACGTATATTAACCATTGAGTTGTCGATAATTGCGAAAATATTTATTATGAGTGATGTGCTAAAACACTTATTAGGCAACAAATTGACATGATACCAATGAAAAATCAATGCTCGACCATTTTAGAGAGTCGACGGTTTTGCAATGAATTGATCGGATTTATTACCTTTTTTTTTCCTATACGATTACATAACTGAAATTTTCAAATTAATTCCAAGTGGCAAACTGTAATCATTTTCGATTCTTACGCTATTTTAGTTTTGCGTTGAACTTAACAATCCCTAATAGCATTACTTTGGATTCATGTGTCTCGAATGGGTTGGGGGATTATTTGTAAATACTTGTGACGGTCGTCCACTTTATTACACCTGAACAGCTGCTCTGCATTGAATTAAAGACAATTACATTGGATTTGACCACCAAACTAGTATTCTATTACACAGTGTCCATGCCGTATTAATTATTCAATACTGCTGTTAGAGTTGAACTATTCAATACGGTGTCATATTTCCAATGTTGTTCAAAAGGTCTGTCATGTCATTTCTGCCGTCAATACCCAAGTCAAACCTTACCTTCAACAAAAAAACACACGCACGTCAAAACTAACGAATCCCTACATACATCGAATTTCAAATCGATTCATTGCGCGCAATAGTTAATGCTCTCAACCATACTTTAAACCTCTTTTTTTCAGCTCTTATTTGGAGTCTGAGTCTTAGTTTTTAAGCGTCACATTCATTACCGGTTTCTGTTCGTATTTCTCTATTTCGTCTTCTTTCTCCAAATGAATTTTCAGATTAAATTTCTAAAAAAACACAAACACACACACACCGACATCCTAAGCAGAGTGTCGTCGTCGATAGAGAAGAGCTACCGTTTCGAAAATGCCATTTATCCAGCGCATTGTAGAACCGGTATTCTTATCACGGCCCACACAACAATCAACATCATCGGCAGCAACGGAACAGCAACCAACAACATCAAATGCATCGAAAATAACAACAACGGTGACGTCTCCAAGAACGAAAGCGACCCACGACGATTTTACATCGATTGCCAATTGTACACTTGCCAATGTATTGCGACAATTGGCATCAGTTGTTCTGGTCGCCGATGAAATTCTATGCGATTTAGGCAACGAACTTCATGCAATTCGCGAACGTAGCAGTGGCATTCAAAAGCGAATCGTCAACGTTGAGAAAAGTTTAGAAAATATCGATACAACGATTATATGTAAGTAGAGTTTTCTTTTCGTCATACACTCAATCAACCGATATTATGCAGTAAGAAACCAGTCCAAAAAAAAGCACGAAAATGGAAGAAACGAAAAAAAAAAGAAAAGAAATGATTTATCGAATGAACGCTTCCATACCATATTGGCGATACGAGTTTTTTTTATTGTTTCTTCCATTAGTTAGTTGGATTTATTTCGATTTCTCTAACCGCTCCTCAATATTTTTTTTCTTCTCTTTATTCGTTCTCTATCTCTCTTTCACTCTGGAATTGCACAGATAAACCGAATAAGAAAAATTTTATAGACGACAATGATGTATCAATTTATAAAACGAAACGAACAATCAGCACGTCACTGTTCACTGCATCAACGCGACCACAACATATTCAATTGCTGTACGAAAAAGCGGCTCCGACACCAGTTTTACTTGTATGCAACGGTGACACAGGCAGCGAAGACAACTTTTCCGTTGGTCCGCTTGTGTCGTTCGGTCATACGAGACGACAAATCACGAAAAAGATTGATGCAGAAATTGAAACAAGAGTCGTAAGTACACTTTTATATATACATCTGCATTGTATCAATTTGGCCGGGCTATGACCCAAATGATCAATCGTTTAATTCAAAGTAAAAAAAAAAAACACACACAATGAACGTGTGCAATTAATGTCAAAGAATTTCTTGAAACAACAATTTTTTTCACTTGTCATTCTGGATATACTAAATGCAAAAAAAAAACCGAAAAATATTTGTATAATTGCAGCCAGCTGCGATTGAGGAGCTGAGAAAATGGACATCGTCAGAGGCAATTGGTGAAATAACGGTTGCTCCAAACGGTTTGGTAAAAGTTGGCGCAAGTTCGTTGCACAACAATTCAACCATTGCAGAGGAGTCATATGCCAGTTTTTCAACATCGTATGTCGATGGAATCGATGTAACATCAACTAGCACAAACGATATGATCGATGGAATCAATGATATTGCATTAGATCATAAACTTCCTTCACCCGAAGAACAATGTAAATTAATTGCCGAGAGATATCCAGCGGAAGTTGTGCCAGTAAATACATCGAATGTGCGATTTGACCGAATGTGCTCGATTCGAAAGTCATTGGGAAATATGCCAATGGGAAAAATGCGATATCTCGACGAATTTCAAGCAACCCGCCGATCGTTACGACCACGAAAACTGTCCGGCAAACGACGAAATACAATTGCCGGCATCGATGATAAAGACATTAAAGAAGCCTACACACAAATGTAAATATAATTTTCTCTTTATTGCTTTTCTCTATATTTTATATTCAATATCCAAATGTTCAATGTTTCGATAAATTTCTCCACAGGAGGCATAGTGCTGTCGTTGGTGGTACATCAAATGCAGATGATAAAAATAGCCAATCGATGCCGCGAAGTAAATCCAATGATTTGCTCCGAAGTAATGGCACAATTGATAGCCTACGATCATCGAATCGATTTTCAAACTTTAAAGCGTTGAAACAATGGGGTAAACATCGTTTAAAGCTGATCAATAAAATTGATGAAAATGTTGAAGGTGAGAGCAATCAAAATGGCAATGTCGGTCAAATTGATAGTCCAAAAAACACTAAAACACGACCAAAAACAATGGCCGAAAAAAGTCTCAAACAAAATCCATTGTATTCATCGTCTGAGAAATTGTTTACGAATTTAATTGAGAGTGATATCAAAGTTTGTGCATCGCCAATAAATCCAGTCAAATTAAGAACGTCAATGAGCCGACGACAGCGGCGCAGCAAACAATATCGATGCGAAGAGCCAAATTCATCGAGCGGTAATTGGAGCGCGAGTTCGGAATCGGGACGAACGTCGGCCAGCAGTGAAATTGCAATGCATAAGAAATCAAGTAATTCATGTAGTTCGTTAAATCAACATAAACCACCGGTCACAAATTCGAATGCACTATCAAAGAGACGAATAAATACATCGACTTCGAGTAGCATCACAAGTGATGACACTGTAACACATGATGTGTCCAATGCCTATGTTGATTCGTTTGACGACAATGAAAGCATGTATTCATGCGATACAGAGGGATATTTTACGTCATTCCATGTCGATTCGGGACTAAAAACACTAAAAGAAGAAGAAACAAGTATTGTTCCTGCACTACTGAGCACATCGGCGCTATTGCCAATTGATGGCAGTAACATATCAAGCAGTATGGGTGATAGTTTAAGTCGGACCACCATATCGGTCGATAGTGATTATGAATTGTTTGGCAAAGGATCAACATCAACGACAGCCAGTTCGGGAACGGTGTGCACAGCATTACTCGGTTCATTGAGCAATAATAGTTTAGTCGAATTGCCTGTCGCACCCGAACGGAAATCATCATTAAATTCAAAACTTATGAACATTAGCAACTATGGAAAACCAAAACTTTTATCCAACAAATCCAACGAAAGCAATACAAAACGAAGCAATGAAAAAGAGGCTACACAATCGCGTGTTGATAAGAGTGAAACGAATGATTCGTCGAGTGGTGTGGCAACCACAATATCCGATCTCGAAATATCGGAAAATTCAGACTTTGAAGGTGTGGAACGTGTAAAACGGATTAAAGGCAAGACGCAAATCAATTCGAATCGAATTCCATCGATTTGTATTATAACGCCATTGAATAGTGACGACGAAGATCGTGTTGCAGCCATGGAATCGATGCTCTCCAGTTTGAATATCAATCAAAAAGACTTGCCATTGAGTGAATTGGGCGAAGAACGAACTGTTGCACAAGTGCATAGTCCCCTTGCATCGCCGGCACCATTGAATGCGATCAATGAAGTCGGAAAAGAGAATGTGATTGAAAAACAGGATGAAATCGATGCTGGTGAATATGTAACGATTTCTGATATTGGATGTCGATCGCGTCCAACAACCTCTTATAGAATGAGTGAAATGGTCAGCAACGATCTCGATCGAGTTTTATCCGGCAATTTAAGTAATAAAATCGAATATGTTTCACTGAATGAACTGCCATGCAATACGAACTTCGATGAAAATGTACTTGCCGATTCGAAAAATGTACGATTAATCAGTGGCACCAATGTAAAATTGAATGCAAATGGCATGTTTGTATATGATTCAAATACGTTGCGATACACACGCAGTTTGTGCACTACATTTAAAGGTGCTGATGTGCCAGCACAGAGCGATGCCGTTGCAATATGTGATGCTAGCAAAATTGTGACGTCAAAATTACAAAACCCAGATATTGTGACTGAAGATAATAGGATGAGCTCAGATAGTTCGCCTCCATTTGAGAAAATGGCTTCAGATTACAATTCAGCCGAATCAGACGATGTTTATGTCACACTTGCGACTGATAAAGGTCAGTTTAACACATCACCAAAATCAACTGTTTCTGTATCCGATTCGGGTAAGTGGTTTTCTTTTTCTCATTAATTTTGAAATAAATCATCTAGTTCTTATCTCTTATCTTTTTTTTCATATCTTTTAGAACTAAGCGATACGAGCAGAGATGCAAAGTCAGACACATGGCCCGTTGTCAAAGAAGACAGTCTTAAAGAGATGAAACGTCGTTTTTCTTGGGAAAATATTACAAAATCAAAAGAGTCAAAGCGATCAAAGAAACGTCGTGGCCGTAAATTTATGTTGCCACTTGATTTCAGTTCGAAAAAAACATCGCCAAAGTCAAAGTCAACATTTAAAACATCAACTCCGTTGAAAAATTCCAGTGAAAAACCAGCATCAGCCAAATCGAATGTGAATGAAAGCAGCGGTTTCGGAAACAGTACTTCAATATCTCAAGTAACATTCAATCGGCCACAAACAACGACATGCAGTGATCGACTTGGTGTTCCAAAAACATCACTGAATGACTTTAAACGGCTTCTTTTAAATGCCACAAATAACAAACGAATTTCAACGAAACCGTCGGCCGTCGAACAGTTGAGATTGAAAAATGAAGCGTTGAATGCATCGCCAATGAGAATACTTGATTTAAGCAGTTCACCAAAATCGTTTACCAATCGTCGTGTATTCCAACAGGTGCAAGCATCTACGTTATCACCGTACAAAAAACCCAATTTAATGTCACCACGATCACGATGGAAGTATAGTCATTTCAATAAAAGTTCGATCGCCTCAATTCCTGAAGTCAATATTGAAGACGATGCCACATCCATGGATTCGCATCCAGACGAAATGGAGGAAAAAGTTAACAATACACCAATGTATACAACGCCAGAAAAGAAACCAATGATTGAGCATGACCAAAATGCAAACATATCGAAATTAACTCCAATCACACAAAATGAAAAGCTAGAGCCAATTATTGCCAAAACAAATTCATCGCCCGAGACTGGGGTCATCGAAACGAACTTTAGTGGTGTCGTTGAAACCAATTTCTCAATGGAAGACAATATGTTCCTGCAAGCTGAAGAAAATAATTTCATGCGAGGAGAGATTAGGCCGTATAAGACGGCGTCATTTGCAAAGAAAACGGTATTAAAACCCATCGCAGAATCACCACAAACGCCGGAAATTTTAACAACAACAGCCCCAACACTCGAAACATCATTTTGATAATGAAGTACAAATAGAAATTCTCTCACTATCTCTGGTTTCACAGAAGCATTTCTTACCCAAATGGAATGATAGTATGTTTATTTATCGATAGAAACGATGCATTTCATAACGCGACATTTAATATGTGTGTGCATATACAACAAGTTTATTATATAGTTCTTTTTTATCCTAGCCATTAAGGACCCAGTTTTCTAACTTATTTATTTTTATACTTCCGGACGGATTTTTTTTTGTATGAAAAATCTAGCAGCTAATTTTGTTGGACATTTTGGACAAACATAACACAAATCATGTGTAAATACGCGCTTTAACATTTACTTCCGCATTATTCTTATTGACACTGTGTGTCATTTATTAATCTATTTATTTATTCTTTTTGTTTTTTTTTTGTGCGAAATGAGAAATTAAATTAAAATTAGAAAATCGTTATACTTTCTTCAATTAGTCTTCTTCCTCTGCTGTCTTCTGTTTACTTGACATTTTTTTCACTTTGTTTTTTGAACATTTTTGTATTATGTCATGTAAGCATATAAATTGTGTCTATAATCGGCTCTGCATTTATTTGAAATTGAAAATTGTATTTAAATTGAGAACGAAATTCGTGTACATTTTTTCGACGTTTTTTTTTGTGAAGATATTGTATTTTGATAGCAATCGAAAGTTCAAATACACGCATTTTTATGAGTCGAAAAGCATATTCGATGTTAGCCACTAGTCTAGCCAGTGAAATGTTCAATAAACGATAATTCGATAAGTTGACGATTCGAATTTGAATTCTTTCCACATTTTTTTTAGAAAATTTATTATCCAATATTTAATTTAATTTAATTTATTCGCGAAATAATTTGGTTAAGTTTGAAATCAAGTGAATAATATATTTGTATTTTCATACTTTTTATACTTTAATCGCTACATCGTTAAGTCAATCAGTTTGCCTTGCTTGAGTGCATTTTATTGCTCATGCCCATAAGTCAACAGAACAGAAAAATAAATATTTGCTGACGCTTAAATTCCCATCTGCCAATTGTATGTGACAAACTAAGGAATACGAATATAATAATAAAACGAAACACATGGCCAACCACAGACAAACCATAAGGTTCCTTTTTTTATAAAAGAAAACACTTCACAAACATGTAAATCATATATTTTGTCATAAAGTTATTCATAAGATTTTTTTGCTACATTCAACAATAAAAGGAAACCTATTTAATTAAATGCATAAATTCAAATGGAGTTTTTGATTTATGAACCTTTCATCACACAGTGCAGGAATGCGTAAAATGCTGGCTTGAGGTTTGTTTACATATTTTGCGGCGCTTTGATTGTGGAAAAAAAGAATCAAATGATGTACGATGATAAGAGTAGTGACACAATTCCGAATAGTTGGATTTATCAAAAGAAAACAATGACGCTTGACGTTCCAATTCTACGTACCAGTCGAAATTTCTAGTTTTCAAATATTATCTTTAGTTACTTAATACGTAGGCGACTATTTAAGTTTCTTCAATATGTATGTTTTAGTATTGCCCGATGCAAACCATTGTCATATTCGTTAAGTTTAACATTTTGTAGCATAAACGTTCTCAGAACGTTTTGTCATTCGATCGTTATTTGTATTGTTTACCGTAACATGTAAATTGCGTCTCAGCCAAAAAATGAATTTTACTCGTGAAAATTTTCGAGCGATTATTTTTTTCCACTTTCGATTGGGTGTATCACAACAACAGTGTTTTGATCAACTTCATTTGGCCTTTGGCGATGAAGTACCAAGTCTTCGGACAATTTATAATTGGTACAACGAATTCAAGCGCGGTCGCCTATCGCTCATCGACGAGTTCCGCGAAGGTCGTCCAAAATCAGTTGTTGTACCAGAAAACATCGATGCTGTCAGAAATATGATAATGGAAGATCGTCATGTAACATATCACGAGATTGAGGCATCCCTGGGCATTAGTGCGACCAGCGTATTTAAGATTTTACATGAACATTTAGCTGTCAGAAAGATTTGCTCTCGTTGGATACCACATAATTTGACAATCGCTCAAAAAAAGGCTCGTGTCGATTGGTGTAAACAAATGCTCAAGAAATTCAATCGTGGTGTTTCAAAATCCGTGTATTTTATCGTCACTGGTGGCGAATCATGTATCTATGCGTATGAGCCCGAAACTAAACAGCAGTCGACTGTATGGGTCTTTCAAAGTGAAGATAACCCAACAAAAGTTGTTCGAGCTCGAAGTGTTGCGAAGCAAATGGTCGCCTGTTTTTTCGCGATAAGTGGTCATGTGGCAACAGTTCCACTAGAGGCTCGTAAGACCGTCAATTCTGATTGGTACACCACCATTTGTTTGCCCGAAGTGTTTGATGAAATAAGAAAAAACAACCGCCGTCGCAAAATAATTCTTCATCATGATAATGCGAGCTCTCACACATCTCATCAAACAGTCTATTATTTGACCGGTCAAAACATCGATTTAATGGGTCATCCGCCGTACAGTCCTGATTTGGCACCCAACGATTTCTTTTTATTCCCGAGCGTGAAGAATAAACTGCGTGGTCAACGATTTTCATCGCCCGAAGAAGCAGTTGATGCGTTCAAAACACACGTTTTGGAGATATCACTTTCGGAGTGGCATGAATGCTATGACAAATGGTTCGAGCGAATGCAAAAGTGTATTGATCATCATGGCGAATATTTTGAAAAACAATAAAACCATTTTCGATGAAACCCCATTGTCTTATATATTTTTTTGAAAAAACTTAAATAGTGACCCTCGTACGACTCATTTCATAATCGAGAAAAAGGTGCCAAAATTATACATACTTATAATGTTAATCTGTAAAAGCGGTAAAAATGCTTTAGTTTTTTTGTGTTTGTTTATTTTGTGCATATCATATACAAACATAAAATATGTCTGTTATTACGTGTGTACTTTTAGATACTTTTCAGCTTATCTACCGTGACTTGATAACATAATGACACAATTTTGACGTTGGGAAGTAAATAAATTTAAATTGTTATGCTTTCGGTGTAGTCTGGCACAGCACGTGTGCTTTACTTTTCGAAACACCAAATAGTGTATGTTATACAAAAAATAAATAGAAGACAAATAACGGAGAATCAAAAAATTTACCAATTTTAAATATCCTTCGATCAGCTTATGTATTTCTGCTGAATGGGAACGAATAAATTCGATTGAAGATGAAAATTTAATCCCAATTTACAAATTTTATGAATCAACACTTTTCAATTTTTTATTGTCCACCTTAAAAAGGGCCCTCGAGTTTCCAGAAATTTCATTATTTCTAAGCGTTTAGCGCTTGTATCAAAAATATACGCTTATGTTTTGAAATCAATAACAATAACCAATACCACAAATGTTTTAAATTCATTATTATATGGAATAACGAAATTAATTAGTGGAAAACGAAAATATTACATAAATTTAATCAATAAAATTGAAATTTGTAAATTACGTGATGTAATAAATCTAAAAGCCATACGTGTTCAATTTTGTAATGAAAATCGGCAATAAATATGGCTAGAAAAATAACAGTTAGTATGACTGCATATGATTTAAAATTACTCACAAGAACGATTCATGTTTTTCTCGTCGCCAAAATGTCTAGAAAACTAGTAATAGATTAGGAAGATAATTATGTAATAAAATGATATAAAATATATCAATTTCTTGAATTTACACGTCAGTGTATTCATTTTTTCCAGTGAATTGGAGCTTTCTTTCCGCTAAAATAAAATTCAAACAATCTTTAAAAAAAACCTTTAAAAGTAGGTGACGAAGTTCTCCTTAAATTCACTCCGATGGCATGGTTTGTCTCATTTGTTCGAGCGTTACGATCATCTTCCACTGAATTTTGCTTGAAAAGTAATATTCATGGCGTTCGATATTTCACCGAACGTATGCTCCATATAAGTGAAAGGTTTAAAATAAATTGTGTATATTTTGTCTTTTTCCGTCTTTTGCTATGTTAAATGTTTACTTATACATTTATTAGAATTTGGTGGATAATTGGTTTCGGAGTGACGCTTATGTTATGTGGTTCCATGATTCGTAATGTTTGGTTAGACTGGATTAATAATCCAATGAAAATTACCATTGACAAATCCACATCAATTTCGGCGATTCCATTTCCATCCGTAACCATCTGTACAAGCATAAAAGCTTTGAAGCATAAATTGGACATTTCATCGAAATTCAATCAACACCAACAATTAGCAGTGAAATTAACTGAAAAAGAGTAAAACAATTCACATAAAATAGCAACATTTTAAATTTTAATGATTAATTATATACTTAGGGCATTGGAATTTGCTGCATTGACTCACATCTGTCCAACTTTAAGTTATTACATGAAAGGCCGAGACAATTTTATAAATGAATCCGTTTACGATATTATTGAATATCTTGCACCAAGTCTTGATGATGTAGTGAGTGAATGCCGATGGCAACAGAAGAAAGTCAATTGTGCCGATCATTTATCGCACATATTTACGCCGTTGGGTTTTTGTTTTGCTTTCAACACATTGAGTTTCAATGACATCTACACAGATGAGTAAGTTTATTCTTTTAAGTTGAGCATTTGTTCAAACGAAATGCCGAAATTACACGTAAAATACGTATGAATTTTAGAGTGGTTCCAAAAATTCGGACGATGAAGAACAGTCCAAAACTATCTAGCTGGAGCTTCGAAACTGGCTATAATGACGAAACTAGCGACAAGGAATATCCGTTGCGTGTACCTGATTCAGGTCCAAATCATGGCCTGGATGTGGTTCTTTCACAATGCAAACAACATTATGATTTTATATGTATGGGCATTGTTCAAGAATTTGTAATGTACATAGATACACCAGGCGAACTGATGAAACCACAGACTCTACATAATATACAAACTATGGAAAATGTGTTGATAAAACTTCAGCCAAAATTTGAAGATATTACAAGTGGAATGGCCAATTACAAACCAGAACAACGTCGATGTTTTCATCAATCGGAGCGACGGCTACGTTTCTATAAAATTTATACAGACACTAATTGCGAAATGGAGTGTATGGCGAATTTAACCAAAAGTGTATGCGGATGTGTGAAATTTAGCATGCCAAGTAATGTTGTCTGTTCTAAGGTCACTTTGATTCTAACCAAAAATGAATTCTAAAATGTAAAATGAATCATTTTTTTAGGAGATGTAAGAACAAAAATTTGTGGTTCAGCAAAAATTATTTGCTATACAAAGGTTAGAACCGAATATTTTTCTGCCAGTGCGATGAAAATTCGCACAAAATGTAATTGTTTGAAAGCCTGTAAATACGTTGCATATGATTACAAAATTAGCAGAAGTAAATTTGATGTGAAAATGATACAAGAGGCCACTTTGAATTGGAATGAAACCAATACTATTGATGCGAAACACGATAATCGACAACACACACGAATATCAATCCTCTTTCAAAATCATCTCGTAGAAACTGAGACACGAGATGAAACATATACTCTTACTGAGTTTTTGTCCATTTGTGGGGGGCTGCTTGGATTATTTTTGGGCATTTCACTTTTGAGCATCGTCGAAATTGGTTATTTTGCCACGCTCCGTCTGTTTACGATCATTTATCGACCAAGGCCGTCAAAAATTGAGGGTCATTTAATATGGGAAACAATTGGACAGAATCTGTTGTCCGAAAATAAATTGGTATGTACAAAATGCAACTATTCTATCTCGTATAAAATATAAAAACTGATATTGAATTTAGATGCGTTCGTTGCGTTATTTTTTTCGAGTTTGGCGTACATTTGGCAAAGAATTTTTCAAAAATACCAACATTAATGGTCTTCGGTATATTTCGGAAAGCGGACTTCATTGGTGTGAAAGGTAAAGAAATTTTCATTAAAAAAAACGGTGGAACTTATTATTAAAAAATACCCGTAATTCGAATGAATTAAATTTGATGCAAAAGAAGGTGTAAAAATGCACATGTATTGGGTTCAAACTTCATATGATTGCCCGAAAATTAAAGCGAGACTTTTATTCACAACTTATTGAAATGTAACACCACAAAAAAATTGAAATGTTACATTTCAATAGGTTGTGAAGAGAAGTCTCGCTTTCATTCTCGGACCTTTCATATATGTATAGTACATATCAGAATATGTACTACCAAGCAAATAAAAAATGAATTTGATCATATTCTGACTGTGCCGAATAAATTCGCGGATTCCGAGTATTTGCAATCTATGGATGATATAAAACAATCTAACATTGTTTCGAACAGATTGTGGTGGCTAATCTCCATAGTTGCCGCCCTATGGTTGTGCGGTAGAATGATTCAGAGAACGTTGATTCAATGGAATGATGATCCGACAAAAATAGTCATAACAAAAGATACCGAGTTTTCTGTGTTCATTCCATTTCCCACACTAACAATTTGTCCCATCAAAGCAACAAAAAATGAATTCGATACTCAAAAATTCTGTCCATTTTTGCCGGAATTTATTAAAGTTGGAAACGATACCGAATCCATTTATGACATCAGTTCCAATGTTGATGAATCAATGCCATTTTGTGAGTTTTCTGATCGACGCTTCAAATGTTTCGAATTATTTGTTCCGATTTTGACCGAGGAGGGAATATGCTTTGCCTTCAATGCTTTGAATTCACATGAAATGCACACTGAAGTGTAAGTATATCACGGACATTTTATTGAAGTTTTTCAAATCATATTCACAAAAAAGAAGTAAATTCCACTTAATTTTTACATAGAGTGGCTCCCGAATTGATGACAGTTCAAACTAATCCAAATGCTTCACGGGTTTGGAATCAGTACAGCGGATATGCAAATATATTCGATAAGGAGAACTATCCATATCAAGCAATGCGCTTCAACAAAACTATAGACCTAATTATTGGACTCTCGCTTTTCAGAGAGAATATTATAGATCAATGCATTGGATTTGACTATGGATTTAAAGTTATTTTATCAGTGCCAGGTGATGTAGTAAAGGTTTCGCGTAACTATTTTCCATTGCCTTCTTTTGAAGTCAACGATGTTCAAATTATACCCGAAAGGACGATAACAACAAAAGAATTACGTGGTTATAAATTGAGCAAACGACAGTGTTACGATAATGATGAGCGAAAATTACGTTTTTACAAATTTTATTCACAAATCAACTGCGAAGAGGAGTGTTTGGTGAATTTCACCAAATATGAATGCGGATGTGTGAAATTCAACATGCCACGTAATCATCTTCCGTTTCTTATAATTGAATTTTGAGTGTCTTGTGTTTATTGCTATTTTTATTTCATGCAGGAGATGAAAATACGCGAGTATGCAGTGTAACAGAAATAGATTGTTTAAAAATGGCTAAACAGAAGCTTTTTACTACACATAATGGCACGGCGTTTCGCGATGAATGCAATTGCATGCCAGCATGTACATTTATTAAATATGACCTAATAATCGAACGGAGTATGATAAATTTGCAGAGTTTCGACCAACTGCGTAACGTTTTGGGTTTGCCAAATAACAAGAAGTAAGTAAAATATTCATCGACTTTAATTCAAATGAAATCCACAATTTTCGTCTGGTTTATCATTTCCTTTTTAGCATAGACACAACATTCGCGACTTTTGAATTTGAAAAAGCATCATTCAATGTAAACAAAAGGAATGAATTGTATAATTTGATCGATTTCATAGCGAATTGTGGCGGTTTGCTTGGACTCTTCTTGGGGATTTCAGTATTAAGCGTCATTGAGCTGATATTTTACGCTACCATTAGGTTGTTCTGGAGGATGCGTTATTTGGCAAAAATTTCAGAACCCAGTTCATCTGATTCATGTTCAAATGTGAATAAACCGCAAATTTCTGTAATGGAAATTACCGTTTCAACTCATGAACAAATTTAATATTGTACTGTATTGAATGAAGGTGTGTTTCATTTGTCGAGGTAGGCCACAAATGGAATGGAATTGTTTTCGACTGTAAATTGAGGTTTTCAGTCCAAATTGACCGATTTGTTCAAGTGTATTATGTTTTCTCGGACACATTCTGTTAACCCACTGAAAGTTCCATCAAGTACACTTTTGCAATGTGTGAAATTGCACCATACAAAAATCACTTTTGAACATTTATCGCTCGTTTTCAATCACACTTGATGTTTTTTTAATAAATATATTAAAGTCATACGTCACACTGAGTCAATGTTAGTAAAGCTGGTCAAACGACTTTTAAATTGCATCGTCAAACGTGCAGATTATTGATATATTTGATAGCAACAAATAATAAATCAGGGTAAAATTCGAAACAATTGATACAGGTCAAGCGATTGTTGTTGTTGTTCAGAAATGTTCAAGTGAGATTTTATTTACCGAAATTCGATATGAGAATGTATATAAAATGAGAGACTAGGTTAGGTTATTAACAATTAGAATCGATTGCAATATAAATACAATTGTCTCGATTGAACAAAGCATCATTTGATCATTTACTTTAAGATGAAACATTCGAAATTTATATTGTTTGCGCTTTTCGCTCTCGTCGTCTATATCACCGCTGAGCCAGAGGCTTTGGCTGAACCCGAGCCCGAAGCTCTAGGTACTTATTCGATCTACGTATAGTGACAACTAAATGAATTGCCTGAATTATTTGATCATTTTCAGCCGAAGCAGATGCTTTAGCCAATCCCGAAGCAGATCCAGATGCAGAAGCAGAAGCTTTTGGTACATTTTTCAATATTTTCATTTAGTTACCAAACATTTATTTCGATTCTTTTTAGCTGAAGCATATCCAGATCCACTGAGAAAACGTAAAGGTGGAAGTTTGGGCAAAAGTAAAACCGGAAGCAAAACCAAAAACAAAAATAATCCTGGCCGTGTAATTTTAAGAGTAAAAGAAAAAAGAGGTAAAAAACAAAAGACATCTTGTTGTTGCAGCAATAAGTGTAAAAGACGCTGTCAAAATTGCAAAAGGAATAAAAAGATCAAAAAGACTAAAAAGACCAAAAAGACCAAAAAGACTAAAAATACTAAAAAGAACCGAACGTCGAAGAAATGTAAACGATGTCCAGGTGTTTATCCAATACCATATCCAGGCGGTCAGTATTATAACTACTAAACAAATAAGATATGTCATTAATTTTGATTATTATTAATCAATTTTTAGGTCCTTATCCAGGAAGTGAGTACTATTTTATGTTTTGTTTATTTTATATCATTTGCAAAAATGAATGTTTAAATTTGGAGTGGAAAACTTTTCAGCAAATCAAAAGGTTCAACGAAAATTAACGGTGCATTTTTTTTATAGACAACAACGTGTCTACCGCGTCCTCAGCTGGCTCTTCATCGACAGCTAGTGCAAGCACTACAGAGGCCAGCAGCACAACTGGCACCGTGGCAACAGCTAGTACAGTGGGAACACCTAGTACAGCAGCAACAACATCCACATAAATTGCATGAAATTTTATTAATTTGAGTCAATGCACTTTTTAATCTTCTTTTTTACACTTTCTAATTAAAGACGAAGAAAGAAAAACTCCATTTAAATTCTCATTGAATTTATTTACGAAAATTTTGGCTAAATCATAATTTATATATTAACTTTGCAATTCTTATAATCGATCCTTAAACAAATAGTTATAAAACATAATGTTTGCTTACACATTATTTTGGCATGATAAAGGTTAACAACATACAAAAGAAAATAAATATAAATGACAAATAGCGGGATTTTTTTTCGTTTTGAATTCGACTATTGATTTTTCTAAAAAAAAATTTCATTCACTAAAAAGCATTGAGATTTGATAGAATGCTAAAACTGGATGAAAATACAGATTCTGCCGTTTGCTTAGGAAAGAAGAATGACCAAAAAAATTGTGTCAGTTCAATGGTCATTATAGTATATAGACAGAGCGTTAACGAAATTACATGACCCATCCAAAGTGTAAGGCAAAAAATGGCGCATTCTGTTGAAAATGTGTCTCGGCAGTCATACTCTTTGATACAAAATACAAATAATCTGTACACTCGAGAAAAAAATTATTATTATTTACAAACACATTAAATGCTTCAAACGTTGTGTTTACGTCGCATTAATTGTGTGTCTGATCCATGCTGAGTTTGGTGTAATTTTATCATACATTCGAGGTCGTTCGATACCATTTGGTTGGCACGCAATGCGCCAACTGGCTACACCAACCAATGCCCATCTATTACTGTTTGGAAGCAAGCACATCACCGGTGCTCCCGAATACTCTTCTTCGGTGCAATCTTGTTTGTGAAATGTTGCTTCGGTGCACATTGAATTGACAGTGGCGATTGAAATATTTTCACAGTTAGCCATATGACTGATTTTCAATTGTACTCGTTGTAAATGATCGCGTTGCCGAGACCATCCCAATGTATTACATGTCGTCCATTGAGTGGCCGCCGGATCATCAGCAATCATGTGTCTACCCTTTGGCGTTGTACCATTCATTTCAATCATGGGTGCTACTGTTGTTGAGCTATAAAATTCCGTTGGAATGGCACGAACGTGTCGCACAAGTTCTTCGTCAATTTCTTCATGCAAATCTTCTGGCCCAATAAAATAGTCACGATTCTCTGGCAATAGTGTCTCATATTTTTCATCTTTTTTCGTTCGCGATAATGTATCGGCGGTTGGTTTCTCAGCGCCGGAACTATTCGTTTGTGCAGACGCAAAGTTTTTGATGTTCATAGTATCTGGCAAGCAAATTGGTCGAATGAAATCATTGAAAACCACGGGCGATTCCAAGCGAATCAGAGCAGCCGTTGAACCTTCCACCGGGGATTTTACCATTCCAATCTGTTGGTGTTGCGAAAAGGGAAGTGTGACAATTTGATTGAGTAAAAAAAATTGTGAAATAAATGATGTCACTTACAATGCGTCTTCGTTGATTCCAGGGTGTGTTTGCATTTAAACGTATATTACCAAATACAGCGATCCATGTTGCTTTCGATTGACCTTGGAAACATGATTCAGTTGTTAAAACCCAATTTTCCGACACCAAAGTTCCATCGCAAACATGAGTTTCGTCTCTATGAAGCGATACATGCCAAGGCCAATCGCCTGGAGCGGCCATTTTTGAAAGACTAGCTGATGCATCAGCACTTAAGATCGATTGTAAACCGCATTCTGCAAAATGATATAAATTCATATTAGCTCTTTTACAATGACAATGCTTCAATACAATTAAATGGCGAACACTCACCCAAATTAGCACAAGAGACAAAAAGTGCTTGTTTCTTCTCACACGTTGTCCGAACAAATGATATTTCGGCCGCTTTTGGATCTAAGACCCGAACGTATCGTGTATTTACCTCTGAATCATTTCGAACTTCTGAGAATGCGACTTTCCTACAAATTAATGAAATATTTTAATTTCATCCATGTGTGTCACCAGTTTACACCAAACTTACTCATATCCAAGCGCTTTGCATAGTGACTCGGCAACGGTTCTCTGTATATCTTTGTCGTCTGGTGAATCTAAGCCTTCGGCACACAATTTGCCCAATTCACCTTTCTCCGAGAATATAGCAAACCCGTCGGAATTGAAGCGTACTTGTTGTGGTGTCAGTGGTTTCGGTTCAGTCAACTCCGATAGTAATGGCGCAATTGAAACTGTTTAAAATTGGTGAAAATATTAATAATTTCATTGAAAAATGTAAATTACAGTGTCAAAACTTACGGCAATCTCTTTCATCAAGACAATTGGCGCATTCACATCGTCCATCACATCGTGAACTTTTCGGAATGCATGTTCTGCCGCGTCCACAGTAAAGACTATCGAGTGCACAATACGAGCACTTGAATTCATCCGAAAGGTCGTTACAATCGGCAACTCCATCACATAAACGATTCGAAAGGCCTTTAGCTTGGAGATCTTCGACGCAGTTTGGTTTTGAGTGACAACTTTGTGCTCCAATCGATTCTGGGAAGCGTTCACAATCGAAAAATTGTCGAAAATGATTTGATATTCGACTGCCACATGATTTATGGAAATCCAAGCAATATTCACGACAAATTGGTCCAATTTCCGGTTCAAATGGTTCACGATATTTGCATGGCGGTTGCAGTAATCTACAAACGAAATCATACGCTTGACGATAACACTCTGAATCGACAATTTCACGGAATGCAATCAAATCGGCTTTTACTTCGTCGATATTTTTGTGACCGAGAAGATTTGGGTACGTTGTAACATTGTAGCCAATAGATTGGCAATAGTCAAGCTTAAGCGGTTCACATCGTCGTTGGGGTTTTTGCACTTTTGGCGTATCATATATTTCATCCGGTCGAAGTGGCGATGCATTTGTTGACGGTTCATCGCCCATGAATCCGGTCACCTCATTTATGTCCAGTGCGTTCAAATCGATCGTCAAATTGGAGAACTGTGGAATCATTTGCTGTCCGATTTGCTCAATGAACACGGACATCAAGTCAGCCGTTGAGACTAAAGCGAGGTATGGATCAAAATTCAGATTCAAATGCACGACCATATCACTTCGATTATCGTCACTGCAACAAATTAAGAAAAAGTGCATTTGGTTTAAGAAAATGTTGACGTTCCACATTAAAGTTAAAGGTAAAGCAAAATTCGATGATAAACTTACCCATCCAATGCCAAAACTTCACTCTTTTTATATCCTTCTTTCAGATCAGATCGATTGATCATCTCATCAATAGCATCTGGATTGAAAATAAAAGAAATTTTTTTTATTTAAAGTAAATTGTTTGACTTGATTCGTTCAATTTACCCTGATAAAATTTTGCTCTATGCTGAAATCTCAACGAACTTTGATCGGCCAATTCTGTGGTCCAATTATCACCGGCTGTGACTCGAACTTTTGCTCGGAATATTCGTTGAGGCATCGAATCAAACTTCAACAGCACATCTGCACAAAAGTCATAAAAAACCGAATGTTATGGTTGGCATTGAAATGTAAAAAAATGGAAAGTGTTTTCAACTCGCATAGCAATAGGCAATTTATCATAATATTAGCAATTTACAAACAATCAACAAATTTTGCTTTCTTTTTTTGCTGTCTAAATATGTGTCTGGCGCTTGAGCCATTTTCTCAAGGGTGACTTCATTTTGTCTTTAAACAGTGGGAATAACAAACTGATAAATGTGATAAATATGGTTTTTTTATAACATAATTTAGCAAACGAAATACAATATCTTTGAAGAACAAGAAAACAACAAATGTGGCAAATAAAAACAAAACAAATGGCAGAATGCAGTGATTGTGTATTGTTGGCACATGCGAAGCATCATAAAAGAGAGAAAAATTGGCTCATTGTAGTAATAATCGTGGGAAATGCGAACGGATTTATATTATAATCTGCCATATGTGGGCGCTGGATTAAGAAATGGATGCGAACAAATCCATTTTATGAAGTAATTTTTTGAATACGTAATAATTTAGAAATGAAATCAATGACGACGTCGGCAGCGGCGGCGGCGCTGCAATACTCATTTTTGTTGCAATTTGAATACGTTTTTATGATTGAATAATTAAAGAAAATAACAATTTCGGTTCGTGTTGATAATTAGCTACGTTAATGCTCGTAATAATCAATCTTGACTAGTTTTATATGTCTGAAAGTAGAAGAGTCGTGAAACAGTGTAGATTGTGATATTGAAAGCGTTAGTGCGGATATCGGAGTAAAAAAAGGTAGTCAAAATGATTCCCTCACGATCATATGATTGATACACGATGGCGAATAGTATCATATCTGTTATTTTCTGCTGCTTTTTTATCAGCATTTTAATTAAAATACTTGAAAATTTATATGAAACTCAATAATTTTTCACGGTAGATCGGTATGAACATCGTATTTCCTTTGTTTACGCCCGATCTTTTTTTTTTGATCAACGAAAAAGGAAGAGAAATTAACATGAAAACTTTATTTATCGATGTTCATTCAGTACCGAAAAAAAAAACATGTAATACGTGACTTGATCGTTACTCGATGTTCCATGCGAAATGTGTTCGTAGAAATGTGGAAGCCAAACGAGATCGCTTGAAAGCAGATAACACGTCTTTTTGTTTATATTTTGCAAATTTCAATTAAAAAATGTTTGCAAATCGGCGTGCATCTTGTCATAATGAGTACGCGAAAGTGTCGCTTCGTTCCAAAGAGATTGTCGCTCTTCGATTGACGCGATGTCGACCTATGCCCGCATTTTCATACGAGCAAATGAAACGTGAAAACAATAACAATCTTTGAAAACTGCGTGGAATGGCATTATGAACGATAAAATTCCACATGCTTTTTTTGTGTGATTTAATGGTAATTCCCTACATATTTTGACTTTTCGTGCTCTTTTTTTCTTGAAACAATTTCCATTGTTCCAACAGTTTCACTTCGTGAAATGTGCACGGCGTCATACAACCATTGCGCACCGCACGAAGAATAGCACGATATTTGAGATTTGGAGAGAGAGAGAGAAAAGTAAAAAGAATCGTAATAAATCAGAAGTTGAAAGTGATTGAAATGTAAAACGTGCAAAAGGCTTGGTAAAAGGGCCTAATATACAGCCAGCTGTCGCTTTATGCGAACGCTACACCAGAAATTGGTTCAACAATTCACAAACACCTTTCGCACATTATTCATATAAGCATTTGAAACTAATTGCCGGGCTAAGTGAATGTTTACGAATGTTTCAAGACGCGTATTTTTGTAAAAAAAAAACCACAAATCGCTTTTGATTATTGTCGGTCTCTATCGAAATTATACGAATCGAAGTGAAAAGATCGTAAGTATGTTTATGGATAGTAAGTGTACTTACAGCAAAAGTACATTGCTATTGTAGCGAACAGTGTGAATATTAGCATTCCGGCGATCACAGCACATCCACATCTTTGCGTATCTCCCAACTTTCGTCTTGTGAAACGAATATCGGAATCAGTCGAAATTACCGAGTCCGTTTTTCGATTACTTCGCGATGAAGGATGACGCGTACATTTTTTCGCCACATTTATCTGGAAGAGAAAAAAATTGGTATAATTTTATCAATGAAACATATTTAAATAAAAGCTTTTATTTATTGTCATTAAAGTTATTCTTTTTGCAAAAATTCACATTCAAAATTGATTATTATTGATTCATTTCAAATGAATAAGAATGGCTATCGGTTTGGAAAAGCTGATTAAACAGTTTTTTTATATTTCACCGCCAAATGCCACAAGTAGACAAAACAAACATGTGATCTTATTATATCAAAATGAAAAAAATATGTCCAATTTTGGCGATAAATTGAATAAATTGACACAGGTCAAGTGATTAGATTAAATTCTGTTGCATCTGAGAAAAAATCAACATTATTTATTTATAAAAAGCAGATCGACCAATGCTTTTTCGCTAAAAATTCGACCTGTTTGTTTGTAGATTTGTTGGATGAAATCAGGTGGTGTATTTGTCAGCATAATGGCCTCGATTTCGTAAATTCGCAATGTAAGTCAGTTTGTCAGTGTTAGTAATAACAGTTCTAGTGTCAATGCTACAGCTTCAAGTTCTTCTCACTTTAATAATAATCTCAAAGTCGATTTGGTCAATTCTATTCTTCCAATACCCGAGTCTCTTTCATTTCAATTGGTTGAATTCAAATGGGCTATAAAATGACAATCTTCAATGTCTTTGTTATTTGTTTATTTTCACAATGAACATTTTCTTAATGTTGCATTCAATATTTGATTTAAAATAAAAATAAAAAAAAGCTCAAAAGAAAAACTGCTGTTCAATTTCCGAGCAATACTTTGTGATTCTTTTCAATGCTTTTGTCTGTTGATGTTGCAAACTGCTTGTTAAAATTGACATTCAATTCGATTTTGTCTAAGTAGGAAGAGTATTTTGCGTAATGGTTATTTGTTTTGTTTGATGGACTCGCCTTCAAACTATATTTTAAATTGGCCTTTCATTAAAATGCCATTTTCATTAGATCGCTCATTATTTGATCATTTCAAAATTGGTTAACGCAAAGAGAAAATAATGTGATTAAACTTTATCCACCATCGCCGTTTCGTTTTTTTTTTTTTTTTTTCGAAATAGAAATTTCGCTTAAGTTGATTTTGTTTAATATAATTCCATCAGAGCTGAGATTTTTATCGAGCTTCTTGAAACTACATTTACTTATGAGAATCTGTGTAATATTCGAGATTTGTTTACATTTTCTATTCCAAAGTGAATGAACTGAGCGTGAGTGTTAGAGTAGAACCCTCGAAGCTGTTTCTTTGAATTCGATTGTGTATTAAGATACAAAAGTACATATGATTCATGGAAACGCCAGCTGCTTCGATATCTTCAAACAGCACCGAATACGAAAACAAAATCAAATGTGTGTGCGCACACTCAATAATGAATCACTGTGGCTCATTGAGCCGATCGACAGACTCTCTAATGATGCAGACTATTGGCAGCGCAGCATGCGAAATTAAATCATAACATTTTCCATATAGGTTACAAAAAAAACCGAATTATCGATAAATAATTTACGATCGAAGCGATACAGTCACCGATTGAGCTTGATTAATACGATTTAGTTTTTGATTTTTCTTACACATTCCGAAAGCACATTTCGATTAACTGTGCATGATAGTTTTAATAATAGAATTTGCAATTATTTAAGAATGTAGTGCGAACGGGCGATTTATCTTTACCTAAATACCAATGTCGATTGATTCCCAATTGTGCAAACGTCAAAAATTTTGCAACCGCATGCAAATAAATTGAACGAAAATCTAAGTAATTGGTATAGCTCGACAATGGATCGAAAATGACGTGAAATTATCTCCATTTCATCGTGTAATTCTTTTCACTTGGCGGAAAATTGGCGATAACCTTAATTTACGGTGATTCGTTTTTAAACTGTCATTTATGGTGCGTGAAAAAGCGTTGACTATATGGAAAAGAAATGAATGGATAATTTTTAGGTCTTTAGGTAGATGTGCCTCAAGCTGTTAATAGCAATTTTTGGATTATCTCGTTGAATAGTCATTTTTTGCAATTAATCGTCGCCGCTTTGAAACTAAAAATAGATTTTTCATTGACTGCAGTCATGTATACACTTCAGCCGCTGTCTTTTCATATGAAAAGATATCGAACCGTTTGTTTCTATTGAAACAAGGGATTTTCAAGCGTCACAGTTTTGCTAGAAGGGAAATGTGTTGTTTTCAATGTAAAAAGCAGTTCTGTGCACTTGTTTTCTGAAAACAAAAACCTTGGTCAGATATATAATGAAGTGATAGATATTTTTTTCCTTGTCTTTTACACTAAAATCAGAACGCCACTCTAACGGTATAAATATTGGTGAGTTGAAAGGCGCGTTTTATTCACATTAAATAAAGTGCATTAGATGGTTATGTTTTTTGTTCACATTGAGAGTGGAAAAAGGCGTATTGATTAAGAGCGTAGATGCCGTTTACCATGCACCGACTTGAATGTCTCGTTTTCTATCGCATGTATGTTTCTTTTACATGCGACCGTATTTCGTGCAATGCACTTAGTTAATGTATCAATTCAAATTGATTCTTTCTCTTTTCGTCTCATGATTTTAAAGCGAAAACATAATTCAATTATCGATGCCCTCATATAAATCAAACGAAACAAATACCATTTGAAAATTGACAAAAGAAAATTGTGTCAGACTGCAGCGTTTTATAAACATACATTTTAAATAGTTTCGTTGTGATTATTGTGAAAGAAACCAATAGAAAGTATCGATTATGTTAAAGTTTGTTTTCGAAATTCAAATTTGAGCGCATCAAAAATGATGTTGGTTGATTGATGCATTGTTTAAATCGACACACGACGAGAGAAAAACAGAAATATGCCGCTTGAAAAATACCAAACGCTCATTTTTAATTGAACATGAGTGTATCGTTGTTAATATGGTGAACATTCCGACATCTATACAATGTTGCAACCCTCTTTACAATGTTAAAACATTTGCCTAATGCGTTTTAAATTGAGCGTATTTTTGTATCTTATAATTTCTTGTGAATCGATGCAGAGAGAAACGTCAGTGTCAACATTCAATTTGAAAATGCCCCGAAGTCAGATAATGTTCGATAATATCGCTTGAACACACGTCAATTTCAAAACGATGAAATATTAATATTAATTTTACCCGCCGAATTCTACGATCGTTTCGGGGAATTATGGTAAAGAAACTGTGAAAAAATAACTGTTCTCGCAGTGAAGAGACGGTATAATTGAACTAAATCCAGTAAAAGTAACACCCGAATAAAAGATGAAAATTAGCATTTGGAAGTGAACTTCTTGTTATTGAAATCAAAACAGACTAGGAATCTTTGTTGAATATGCTTCAGTTCTGTTCATTCGTTTTTATTGAATTTGTAGTTTGTGTATAAATATCTGACACGTGCTATATATACACAACAAATCGACACATATGAATTAGCGAACTACCGTCGTTACGCCGCATTCCAGCGCAAATGTTCCGTTTCTTTTCATGTGTCAGACATATAAATCTCAACATTTCATCATCATTATGCAAATATTATATTCAAAATTGAATTATGGAAAATAAAATAATCTACTCTTTCTGACTCTTTTTCTTCTTCTTTGAACTCTTCGCTGTGCGTGAATGAAGGTATTTTTTCAATTCCATTGAAATGATCTTCGTACCATATTGTGTAATTTAACTTGAATTGTTCTTGGGATTTCAGTCGCAAAACTAAGTAATTTTGCAAACATATTCGTACTTTTATTTTGAATACTATGTGAAAGATGTGCAGAAAAAAGTCGCTCATCAAAGTGTTTCATCGTGATCAAAAACTTGCTGAAAAAAAAAATGTTTTTCTCTCTCTAGTCATTTTGTGTGTTGTGTCGTCTGTTTTGATGTCGTAATTGTATTTTTAGCACAATACGGAATACAAGCTTCGTCAGAGCAAAAAGCAGAGATTGCAACAGATATATTCAGAATTTTGTGCTATCTGCGCGCGAAATGAGATGATTTTTTACGATTGAAACTTTAAAAATGGCAAGGAAAGCAACAGACAGAATAAATTTCCACAGACATTGTGTCATTGTTGGTTTCAAGGCAACGGAAATATATTGTGCAAACATTATAATTAAGAATACTCTGAATGTGCGCTACTGAGTTTATAAATCCGATTCAGCGAATCTATTTAGTTGAATTAAAACGACAAATGGTGTGAACAAAATAAGTCCCGTTTCAGATGTGTCCCTGCCATTCTCTATTCAAATTGAACGATCATGAATTCACACCGATGCAGCTACACCCAATTTCAGAAATGACGCAAATATGCCAAAATACACAAACATTTTGTTGTGATTTTGATCTCATTTCATGGTGATGAATCACCTCTTGTCGATTCTTCTGTTAATAGAGCCAACGCGGTCAACTTGTGTGTTCTAAAGGTGCGCGCATGACATTTTGCCAATTCAAAAATAATAATCAGTTTGAAAGATCAAACATTTATCACAATCATCTCCATAAATGGTATATATGCACAATGTTCGAATTAGTTCCAGCGCAGAATAATTGCTACGCAAACACTGAATTACGCACGTTCGCCTCAATTCCATTGTATATCGAATGTTGGTGGTGCTGCTTCACACGCAGCTACATAACAACAACAAAAACTGAAACAAAACTGGGTGAATGAAAAAAGGCATGAGAATAAATCCATTGAGCTGTGAATATTTTCAATTACAATATTTAAAGCCTATCATTTGCACACAGAAATACACAAAAATACACGTCAAACAATTAAGTTGCTTACGGTTCATTTATTTCATTCTATGCGCACAGACAATATTGATGGTACTTAATGTTTGTTTGTGTGTTTTTTTGGGGCGATCTCTTTGAATGCAAAATGAGAAAGCGAATAAAATGATCTGGAACAAGAGACGTGATTGTATATGAGTCGTTTACAATTAATAATAATACCCAAGTTTGGCGCATTTCCAACCATATCATATTTATTCCAAACATTGTTGACCTTGTATGATTTTTCGTATTGCGGATTTCTTTTGTACTGTTTTTCTGTCATTGTTTGGCATCTGGTTGACCGAGAGGGAAAAAATCGCACACCGCCATGTGTAATAAAAAAATAATATTTGGAACATTTTCCTACCTATGCTGTCACATTTTATTTTGTTTATTATTCTTTCGTTCAACCAGTCAGCCTGCTGTTGTTGTTTTTTGTGTAATAATAACGGTTTTGAAGCACAATTACAGCTGCGACTTGATGAAAACTCAACAATTATAATTGTTATTATTACTTCGTATTTGGGCAATTCTATATTCTTTTCTTCGGATAATCGTTTTCGTGTTGAAGACTTTCGTCATGTTTGGCTTAAAAACAGAACTCATCGATGTAATTGCCAACACGCTAAATTGGCGTCGCTAATATACATTAAATCCATAATATATTTATGCTTCAAAAGGTGTACTTTTAAGCGGTTAAATTTCAACAAATGATCGTGATTAGCGCCAATTTAGTGGATGCCCCAAAGGATCCATCCAACTCTATCATTTAGAATTTCTGCTTTTTGAAAAGAACCGACTATTATAGAACTAGATCGTATTTATTGACAGACACTCACTCATTCTCCATACAATGTGTATAATTTTAATGTCTTAACCGAGCGATATATCTCGGAGGAAGCGAAACAATTATGATTCCCAGTGCTCTTTTTCGCTCATTCTCACAACAATGTTTGGCCATTTAAAAATCCAGTCAGCTTAACGATTCATACAGATACAATCGCGATAGTATTTAAGTGATTTGTGTTACAACTCTATTTTCCAATGTTAAGAATAGACGTGTCTCACGTCTCATTATTTCAATTTTCAGATTTTAAATAATCCCTTTAGCATGATACACACCAGCTGAAAACGTATTTAAGACAGATTCGACACCGTCTTTTTATAATATTAACAAATTTTTTCACTTTTAAATGCAAAGTTTTTTGTTTCTCACGCAATAATTGTATGCAAATCATTTGTGGTTTATTCACTGAAGTTTCCGTTTAAAATACTCATTTTCACCAGTCGTTTTTTTAATTTCGACAAAAAAAAAAAACAAAGGTTCGCCCCGCACATACCGCAATGACCCAAGGTGTCAGGCTTTTACTATTGTTTCAGCTAGCATAAACATCACATTATTTGATTTATCATTAGAATATGATAATTTTTGATATATGAGATGCATATTATGAGCTTCGAAGAAATTATAAGTATGTGAGAAGACCTTCAAAAAGTGCAAGAATTGATGTTTTAAGCGTTAATGCTCATAAATGTTTCAACATTTCTTGACCATCTGGTGAAGTTTTCGACCAGCCTCCGAATGCATGGAAGAACGGCCGAGAATTCAAACAGGTCTAAATACCAAAGTAATCTTCGAAACGATCATGTGCCGTTGTAGTTGTAGGAAATGGAAAACTAAACATAGTTTATTGCATCTTTTCTTGTTAACTTTCTAATGAATCTAAAGTGCAACTTACTTGTTGATTAACCCAGAGATCTTTTTGTTTTCCATTGTTGTTTTGTGATCGATTTTTGTCCGAGTTCGATGTCATTTCGGCGCCCTGCAATATCTCTCTGCTTCTGAAAAGGTCAAACATGTGCATATGGTTAATTTATCATGTCTTCAATGTTTCAATTGTTTTCACTTAAATTATGTTCGTTTCAATTTGACATCGATTCCATTCAAAAGAAATCAAAATAAAAAAAGTGGTTACTACTTGTTTCATCGACCACACACTTGAGCCGACTGCTGACTTTTCATATTGAGCAATATAATCGCTGGCATCATCGAAACGATAGGTGCATAACATCATCACTTGTCGAATGAAATGTTAACAAATTGGCGTTTATATTGCATTTTTGCAATGAAATTATGGTGAATAGAAAGATGCAACAATACCATAATTTGTGGGCTTGAATCAATTTTATAGCGAACATGTGCAATGAATAATATGCCAGCACCAATAATGGCAATCATTGGAAAGTTCATTCGGAATAGGTAAAATCGTGTGCAGAGCGGTGGAGAGTAGCACAAAATGTGGTTTGGTCAAATAAGCGGTGAGCCGATAATTTTTCATTCGCTTTTCAATTTACAAGCATGCTATGTGGGCATAAAATTCATATAAAACTCCAAGTTGGAAGCCACATTTTTTATATAATTCTCTTTGATATCTAACGTCAACGGCGACATGATAACAATAGAAATAAGATTACAAAAGACAGGAAGAAACTGTGGTTGCGTCAAACATTTGTTTTATTAGTGTTTTTTTTTTTTTTTTTTTGGGTTTCAATTTGTGTTCGCAGTTTGCTCATCAACACACCATTTTTATTGAGTTGAATTTCTTTGGATTAAATGTTTAGACAATTGATTGTCACTTTGAGAAGAAATAGCTAGAGACAAAAAACGTCTCGTAATTATTGATTAAATAATCAAGCCAAGCGAATCAATATAGCGATGGGTGACTTTTATAGCCTAGTTCGTTGGCCGCGTGATACGTAAGTAATTGCAAACACTTTCAAGAAATTTCAGTGTTGCATAAAATTGGTCTTGGGAAAATGTGAATAAACGCTGCAGCAGAAAAAAAAGAAGTTCGAAAATGTGTGCAAAACTCCTTAAACGAATGAACAAAACAACTTTCCCAAACAAAAAAAAACTTTATCATTTAATTAAATAATTGTTTTGGTTAAAATGTTATAAAAAAATGAAGGAGTGAGAGGTAGAAACAAAGAGAAGAGTGAGAGATAAAGACTAAGATTTCACAGCGACAGACAAAATACCGAATGAACTGTCCCATTCAATTAATATAAACAATGGAGAACTGCAACATGAGCCAAACATTATGTTTGAGGACGGTGCGATTGTTTTCATTTTTCACAACATTTGTTATACATTTCAAATGGTTTCTTTTGTTTTGCTGATTTTCGAGGATTTTGACTGTTCACCAGGTGGTTCCAGCGCCAAATCATAAGAGATACGACTGCAGAAAAACGCTTTGAATTGTTGATGCAAAAAAAAAAATCTTGAATGAAATATGTCATTTTGTGATGTGAATCGATATAAATATATTTCTGTTCAACTTTGTTGTGGCTTTTTAAGACGAATGAGAAAAAACATTGATTTCCGCAACTTTCTAAATGAAACATGGATGATATTATATCTGTTACTTCAAATGAGCCACATTTGTCACAATCATTTGAAAGAACACTGAACTGCAATGCAGCTTGTACAACATATGCTCACAGCCAAGCCCGTTTCAATTAGCCAAAGATATATTCAAATAGTAAATGTCCGACACTCATTTGTGTAATCGAGTACTTCTCATTTAACTATGTTTGTTTGTTGACGGACAATACATTTCAACCTCAAACGCTTGTTAAATCTTTCTCGTCCGCGAACATAAAACAATAGCTATTACGTACAAATTTGGTTTAAGTTCGTGTGGAAAAATAAAATAAGAAACAATCTCTCGTTGTAAACTAAACACAAAATTTTCGAAATTAAGTAAAAAAAATTACGGTTTCGTTGAATGTTCACGACATGGCACAAAATAATAAACTCAAATACTCCCGTGACCACATGACTTTCGGTGTATACTATACAGTTCTATATATGTTAGATTGCAACATATCTGAAAAAATAAAACACAGAAACAAATACGAAAATAATACACACACACCAACATTATCTACATTCTGCCGAACAATGCTCTATGTGAATTTGTGTCAAAAAGTGGCTTAATGCAAATGTTAATCGCACATAATAAATTTCGCGTAGTGCGACGAAAAGAGCGACCGAGAGAGATAGATAAAAAACTTCCGCGAAAGATTATTAATCTTGGCAACAGCGTGTTGTGTGACATTTAACATTTTCTTTACCGTATTTTTTGATTTCTATGTAGCATATTTGCTTCTGGTGCTAAATTAATATTGTTTCGGAATTTTTTCCGTATTCTTTTGTCCGTGATTGAAACGATCTTGCGCGCGATATATTCTACAAACAATACCATATGTTTATGATCGATCGACCACGATAATGGTCATGTATTACCTATTAATTGTGCACACTCTAGACTCTACTCAATGTTTCAATCGATATGTATGTAATGACTTTGATCTTCACGTTCAATGCAATTGAAACGATATTCGTATGGTGGTTTCTCTAGCTCTCTGCACACACATACGGCAATTGTGATTGCGAATGCATGCAATCGCATTTTTTAAAATTGCCGCCCAAGTTGATCTACAGATGCATGATTTCTATTGCCGTTTTATTCAATGTTGTTCGGATCCCAATTGACCAATATCGTTTAAAATAGCTCATAAGTAAAAGTTTGCATCCGATTCCATGGTGCTTTTTTTGTTGTTGTTGTTTATTTCCATTCAAATGAGAAGAAAATAAACACACTCATTCGTAACGCATATCAAAGTGAAACTGATCGTCTTGTTTCACTTCATTTTTCAGTCCAATTTACAGTAATCTACATTAATCTATAGCAAATATGCTAATTTATTTCTCCATTTGATGTATGCAAAAACGAACGGATTGTGTTTTCCTTTTCAACGTCACCATCCAACATGGAATTTCAATGAAATAAAAAACAAAACGATTACGGTTTGGTACGAGCGAGTGTCTGTCTATGTCTTTTTCGTCTGCTCTCTATAACTCATTCGCTGGCTTTTATTTGCGTATCGCCTGAATGCAAATAAATGTTTTCTATTATGTTCTTGCCATTGTGATGAATTCAATAAAGACCCATTCAATGGCATCACATCGTATAGTAGTGGCATCGAATTGGGTGTCTTAAGATATGGCTTCACTTTTCTGCTCTCTAGTGTGTTTGCGGGCACGCACCTCGGTTTTTGTTTGTTGTTAACCATTCAAACAGCCTGTCTAATCAAAAGTAGTTTGATTTGAAACGTGCACGTTTTCAATTGTGTCATTTTTGCAAATTCATCCCGCGTACGATATTGGCCATCGAATGCAATGTGTTGATGCCAACAACAACCGCAACAGCAACTCACTCAATCTATTTTGTGTTCACAAAACAATGACCAATGATGATGATGATGATTGGAGATTATTAAAAAGAATTCGCGCCATTTATTATTCGATGCATTTGGTGGCTTTGTTTGAAGATTAATTGCCTTTTTTGTCAGGGTTTTTTCTATTAGCTTGTTTTTATTAAGTCACTTATCACCATCGATCAATAAACGATGCCAAAAGAAAAAAATGATCGAATTTATAATGTTTGCATAAGGCCATATTGCAGATGAATTATAAAACGTTTAAAAATTGACAATAGACAAGATCAGTCACAACGTCGTTAAGTTTTTTGAAAAATCGAAACAAATGATTTGCAGCTCGCAAATTTGGTGAGGTACTGTTTTGCCAGAGAGAGAGAGAGAGAGAGAGAGAGAGAGAGAGAAACAATGAAGCAAATGTTCAATCACATGAATTAATCGATTTCACTTTTGGTCAGTTATTAATAGGAGCGGTCATTTGCTCCGGAATCAGAGACGTGATCCAATCATAATTTTTTTTTTCAAGCGCAATCATTGACATTTTGGGCAACTCTTTAACATGATTGAACGATCAATTTACAATATGCGAAACAATTGGTGCAATATTTGTGCCTTGTTTTGTTCGTTAAGTGATTTCTCTTTCGATCGCCAAGATGCGATAACTTTTGTACAAATGTGTTGGTCAAAATCATACAGGCGAACAACCGATTATTTCTAATGATTGATCTTCAATAGTGTACGCCATTTTTTAATAACCAACTATTGGTTATAGCCATATTTACAAATGTAATGTTTGATTTTATTGAAGAGAAGAAAAAAATGATTTGGCGCAATCGAAAGCGTTGCCAATTAGCTAAGAAAACACGTTAAAGCAATAAACGATAAAATGTGCGTCGTCGCACAATCACTTTTGTTTCGTCATTTAATGGAGACGAGATTTATGTCATTTTAATAAAAATAACAAATATGTGCTCAAAAATTCTCTATTTGTTTTCGGCTCCAAGTCATAACGTTGTTAGCACACTCTTTCTACCATTGCCATTTACGTCTGAGTGGCCATTAATTCAACGTCGTTTGTATAGTATTCCGGTGTGTGTGTGTGTACAGCGTCGTATTTGTTGAAATGAGTTGAAATATTGACAATGTCCATATTAGTCATCAAAATGTGGGTCAATTGTGTGTCGTTTGCATACTTCGTTTTGTACACAGCCACATCTTTTCGTGTTTTTGCGAGGGAGACGGTTTGTTTTTACTGACGCTACTTCAGTAGACACATCAAAATACACGTTTTCAGAAGTAAAAACAAAACTCGGAAAAGTAAATCAAGAGATGCGATTAAGATGTATTTATCTTAATATTCATATGCATTCGAAGAGTCACTGAACCATGTTCATGAGAAAGTTCCAAAGCTACTTTTCGAATGTGTGTGTGTTTTTACATCGATTGAACTCTTTTTTATTAGCTTTTTTATACAATAATATCATCAACGGTCGTTGGCTACGATCAACTGTCTTTCATCGATGAAATAATCCCCAAAAATGATGTTGTTTAAACGCGTA